GATCTTCCGGCAATATTAGCAATAACATAACAATAAAATAGCTTGTTACGTCAAAATTAAAAACCTTGAAAAATAATGAATAAAGGAAAATGGTGAAAAAAAAAAAAAGGTTCAGCTGAGTAGGACCATCATCATTGAGAGGAGGGAGATAACAGTAGGGACACATCAAGAAAAATAATATAGTGGAGAAGGAAGAGGGAGGCCCACATGTCGAAAATGGTAACCCCGTTGGGTAGCACCGTAACGTAGATGAGGACCCCGTTCACCGTCGAAGATGGTGGCCTTTCACATTTACGGATTGATGATAGTTGTTGATTATAAGTGGAAGGCAGCAAAGCAATACAACGCCCAGAGAAAAGAGTGACTATACATTCCTAATGTGTTTTTTTTTTAAAAAAAAAATGAAATTATTTTTTGTGATGGTATACGTCCAAAATCATTATTCCGTCTAATTAAGAATTGATGCGGTAGGTATTTTTTGTGAGATATAACTTTTCTAATGAATTTTTTTATCACAATCCTGAATTTAAATTATGATCATAATTAATTTGATTTAATACTTGTATCACTTGAATGAGTCACGTATTTGTGTCGATCGAATATCCCTAATTTTCAACAATTTTTCTTTTTTTTTAAAAAAAAAAAACTTTGTATACCTTACAACTTTAACCCATAGACATTCTAACCAAATGTCCAGATTGCCAAACTAATTAATACTCCTCCGTCCTGAAATTATTGTCTAGTTTAAATTATCATTTTTAGTATAAATTAAAATAAAAGCGAAAATCCAAACTGGACAATAATTTTAGGACAGATGGAGTACTATATTATACAATACAAGACATGGTTCTAATAATCTTTATTTGCTTAATATGAGTGGTTTAGTTTAGTGATTACAAATGGGGCTATTAATGTTCGGCATTTTTTTAGATAAAATTACCTTCAATTAAAAACTAAAAAATGACACAATTGTTGATTGTGAGGGAGCGATAGGGTTGTTAGATTATTGGTGTCACGAAAATAACATCACGTCGTCAACCTTCCCATGCGAGTCACAATCCACTAACATGTACTAGTAAGGTTAATTGGAGAAATCTTCATCAAAATCAGCAGCCGGGTACGTGACATTTCTGATTTCATCATCTCTTAGATATTGTGTTGTTTGGATTTGAAGTCCGAATAATTTCTGATCGGAGGCCAGCACATATGTATGTTTCGAAGACAGTGGCGAAGGTGGTGGACCGGTGGTAGAGAGTGGCGGAGACAAGGACGAGGTGGCTCGCAGAGTTTTCCAAGTCTAAGGCGGACAACGATTGAGCCAATACGTAACTTTGAGGGGCTCACAGTTTTCACCTCTGCTCCGTTCCGCATGCCTATTGCCCCCCAAGCTCTACTTGGCAAGTGGTAACATTTTAGGTCCACCCTTTTCCTCAATGGAGAATATTTTCCTCATTTTCTTGAATATACACTTTTTCCTTGCATGTTTTCAATTTCCACATGCTTTTTAGAATCTTTATACACATTACCTATAATTTATTAGTGAATTTACATTTACATGAGGAGTCTACTTTTATTGTCGATATTTTAGTATTCAATGATACTAATTAATAGCTGGCTAGTTTAATATCATTAGATGAGTTGCGTACTTATCGAATAGTGTTTAGTTGTGACTTCAATATAAAACTAGAGAGATTTTCTATATTTTTGCGAGTTTCATGAGGAGAGGTATAAAAAAAAAAAAAAAACACTCTTATGAAATGGATGCAACAAGAATCATCATTCATCACCATTTCTTTATGTTGTTTTTTGCCTCGCATGTAAAATTTAAGAGAAAGAAGTTAAGGGGGGAAAAAAAAAAAACCCTACAGTACATAGAACATCAAGATTTGCTTCCTAGTACTACTACTTATAAAGGGGGGCAGCTAGAGGAGACATAATTTCCAAGTATGGTAAACATCATTAATATATTTTGTGCCTTTTTTCAGGAAAACAAGTAGCATGATGATCATTTGTGGTGTGCTCACATAAAATCTATGCTGACTAAACTGTTGTTTAATTATTCCAATCATTAAGCTTTCAATCATATAGTTTTTTGAACTGCGAGATGATGATCAAGATGTGAAAACGTTGATTCCATATATATATATTCCTAAAGAAGTTTGCAACTTACGAGCAGCAGCTTGTTTTTGGAGATCATTAATAATTTAGGCATATGCCGCTAGAGGGGGGTAGCTAGCTATAGAGGCAAAAGTTGATGATGAATCAATTAAACATAAACAAATTCAAAAGGACTTTATTTAATTTGTAAAAAGAAGGAAAAAGCCTTCAATCTCCGAAGAACTAGATGGATATTGGGTGGTCAGAGCCGCATTCCTGATTGCTAGTTGTCATTTGATTATGAAATTGCTGGCTTGTCGTTGATATTCCAAGCAATTTTTCTTTTCCTTCTTCATATTTAGAGGATCAAATTATTAATTAAGAATAAGTCCTTTGCAACCGAAAAAGGAAAAATTCATTATAACAACAATAAAAAACTATAAGAGAAATGTCGCATCTTATATTTAATTTTAAAAAATGTTTGAACAAACATTCCAAATTTATCAAATCCAACAGAATTGTTGCACGAGATAATTCTTTATCACTCTCATTATTTCTATATATTATTTACGTCCCAAAAAAATTTACTAATAATAATAACAATTGGACAAATTTGACTATTTCATTATTTGTTACGAAGAGAACCCGTCATTTGGTATTAGTCAGGTTAAAAAATCAGCACACAGAATGAGCTTCTAGTAGGTCAAGAAAAGCGTACATTTGTAAACAATTTCATTATTATCTCAAATTCCTCATCAAGTCCCTACCAAAATCAGCTAATCGACGAGGAATGTTTATCTTTCGACATGGATGTGATGCTGCTTTACGGCTTGCCAGTTAAAAAGATTAAGATCGATTAAAATCTCTTTCCAATCTTCTTAGGAAAAAAAAAAAAAAACACACTCAGATTACTAATTTTAATTTGTGTATGAAAGCTCAAAAGTTAGGGGAACAGATTTGTATGTCAATGAAACCACACATCTGTAGCCTCCTTTCCTTAGCGAATATCCTACATTTTCTTGTGAGTGCTTCCTTTTCTTTTTCACCCAAAGTCAGTTCTTATCAGTTCTAATATTATCCATAAAAATATATTCATCTTTAGTTTCAAAAGGTTTTTTCCCGTAATTGGATATTTTTTAAATGGAAGAAACATATGAAGTTGAAGTCAAGGATAATATATATATACCACCAAGTCGAGATTTAAAGAATCCAATGCGAAATCGAAATGACAAAAACCCTCAACCTCCAAATTAATGCATCGTACGCAGCCAGCAGTTAACCAGGAAATAAAAATTAGGACCATTTTTATTGTTTTTTTTTTTCTTTCTTTCTCGGAGAATAGAAAGACCAGCACAAAAACTAGAACTAAGATCCAATCAAAAGCTATCCGGTTATCTTTTCTTTTCTTTTTTTCACACACAAAATATGAAGGCTAATTAAATGGTCGTGGCCCTCAAGCTATAATAAATAATGCATGGAAAAGAAAAAAATTGAGAAAATTTCCGCGCGTAAACCCGCGTACGTACTGTTACAATGATTTAAATTGTCAAACTGAAAAAAACATTGTCACCTTATTATTATAATCATGGTCCTGCTTTTACAATTTTTTTTTTTTCCTGGCATAGAGACAGATATATGTAGAGTATTAGAGCTTAGACTATATTAATTTTATATTATAATTACGTGTAAATAAAACAAAGTAAACATAGTTCAATTTCTAATGTTTGTCTCTGAAATGAAAATACAATAGTTCAGCTAGAGATTCAAGGCAGAAATACATACGTATAGGTATGTTAAAAATTATAACAATGTAGTAATAACAATGTATAAAAAGCATAAAATAACGTTAATAAGTGTTTTGGACACTTTGACTAATAATATATAATAGAGTTGAAGAAATAAGGAAATGGTGGAAGGTGCAATGATGAGGAAGTGGGGCGCAGGATAAGCACGTGGGCGTCGCCTTTCTCTCTTTGCTCGCACGCTGTCATGGACGCTAGCAAAACATCCTCCTAAAAGGGTGTCACAATTCATGCTCAGATTAAATTACTCAAATAGTAATCCCTCCCTTAAGGCCTTAACTACTTTGAAAGTTGATTTGTTCCGTCCTTAGTTTTAAAAAAACAATTGTTATTTTGGGCCCAAAACATTACTTCGTGTTTAGTGTTATCAATTGAGCTTGAGTGGGTGATTTTTGTTAAAAATGATAAGTATAACTACAACGTTGAAAACAATTGTGCATGACACAGTTACAACATACTTACTTTGCTAACCACATCTACGTCGCAAGTTGTTAGTTTGAAATATTTAATTTCGATATAACTATTTGATCGGATAGTAAGTGAAAATTTTGGAAAGAAATATTATAGTTAACATTGAATTTTGAAATTGTTGTTAAGTAATAAAAGTTCCAAAATTCAATGTGAACTTTTTTTTTTACAAGGGACCGAGGAAGTATGAATTTCCAGTCAAATTGGGCACAAAATATGTATAAGACCAAATTTGTAGGACCATTATCATTAATTTGCGCAATGCACTCCGTATTAAACAATTTCTCTAGTAAACAAAAATAAATAATAAATAAATAAGGTGCGCAAATTAGCGAGGGGGAAAAGATAAACTTATATACTAACTTTTTTGGTATGGCATTGGGATTTCCAGAAGGGAATGATTGGGAAATATTTTTCAGCCAACCAAACAACCTTAACACATTTCAGGTTATAGCCGTTTTTATTTATTTGTTTATTTATTTTGCGTGCTTCCCAACTGGAGCAGCATGTGTTATATTGCAGTATGGTGTATTTTGATATCATATTGTCAAGTCAGTAGTTCAAAGTTGATTTTTAGTATTTCCTAAGTACAAACTTGCGGGCAGTTAATTTTGCAATAAACAAATATATAAAAAAAATCTTGGATCTTTGATTAAAATGGATATTGGTTGTGCCCTTTGCGTCTTTCTGTTTGCATGTCCATATCAAAAGGGGTATAGAATGTGACCGAAATGACTTGGATTTTACAGCACTGGATTCATAATTTTTTTCTTTGTTTTTCCCTTCCATTCATGCAATTTTCTTGGTAGTTATTTATATGAGCTGCCTTTTTTGTACCATTCACATATATTAAATATAAACCAGTTCAATAGGGGGACCAAAAAAAAGGGCAGAAAAACAAATTGGAGTTTCTCCCTAATTCAATTCTCCTCCTCTCCACCACTAAAAATTCTCAACTTTATTTTTCCTCAAATCTTTTGGTTCATCCCTTTAAACTTTAAAAGGTTGTTTGGTGCTGAAAATTTCACTTTATTGTGTAAGCAAAATATATTATACTTATATACACAGGTTTTGGCACTCCTGAAATTTTACAGGATCTTTGATTTTGTACTAAGTGTTTTATCTGGGCTTTCCGACAAAGTCTTATTGCATGCAGCTGGAAGGAGGGAACCTTCCAAAGTTAATGGTGTTGTTCTTAAAAGTGAGGCTCTCTGGAAGAATGAATTTTGTTTTGTCTAGCTCTGTCACCTTCTATATCTTGTGAAAGTTTACAACTTTATAAACAAGGAGTTAAAAAAAAAGAAGCTCTCAGAGATGAAGTTTATGAAGCTAGGATCAAGGCCTGATACTTTTTACACCACTGAGGCTGTTAGGTAATGTTTTTTACTTCTTTTTTTTTTTCCTTTGATTGTTGGTTGTCCATGGTTTTTGGTCTAAAAAGATGGGCATATTATAAATATTTTGCTGTTCTTGATGCAGGTCAGTCTCCTCAGAGGTCTCCAGTGACCTCATAATTCAGGTCAAAGGAAACAGATACATGCTTCATAAGGTAAATTTCTTCATAAATCAGTAATCTTTGTAGAACAAAAGAAATGAATTGAACTTTTTGATTGAGTTTTAGTTGGTTTTGGAATTGCAGTTTCCCCTGTTATCCAAGTGTTTGCGGCTGCAGAAACTATGTGCTGAAAATCAAGAATCTTCAAACCACCAGATAGTCCAGTTACCTGATTTTCCAGGAGGTGATGAAGCATTTGAGTTATGTGCAAAGTTCTGTTATGGAATCACAATCACTCTCAGTGCCTACAACATTGTTTCGGCTCGATGCGCCGCAGAGTATCTCCAGATGACAGAGGATGTTGAGAAGGGGAATTTGATATACAAACTTGAAGTTTTCTTCAATTCTTGCATACTTCAAGGGTGGAAGGACACTGTTGTTACATTGCAAAGCACAAAGGCTTTTCCTTTATGGTCTGAGGAACTTGGGATCACAACCAGATGTATTGAGGCCATTGCTTCAAAAATCCTTGCCAACCCATCAAAGGTATGTCTGTCTCACAGTTACTCAAGAAGAGGAAGAGATGATAATATATCTTGCAATGGGTCAGAATCTCAGAGGCATAATAAACAGCCTAATTCAAGTAAAGGTTGGTGGGCTGAAGAGTTAGCTGAATTGGGGATAGACCTTTATTGGAGAACAATAATTGCCATAAAATCTGGTGGGAAGGTGCCATCAAATGTTGTAGGTGATGCATTGAGGATTTATGCAGCAAGGTGGTTGCCAAATATATCAAGATTCATTAATCCTGAGAAAAACCGAGATGAGTTTACGGATCCAGTGAAGGATGCTACTTCAAAACATAGGGTGCTTTTGGAATCAATTGTTAGCCTGTTACCAGCTGAAAAGGGTTCTGTTTCTTGTGGTTTTTTGTCCAAATTGTTGAAGGCGGCTAACATACTTAAAGCTTCTTCAGCTACAAAGAATGAATTGGCAAGAAGGATTGGAATTCAATTGGAAGATGCCACAGTTGGTGATTTGTTGATACCTTCTTTATCCTACAAAAGTAACATGTTATATGATGTGGATGCAGTGATGACCATATTAGAACACTTCATGTTACAAGGGCAAAGTCCTCCCACAAGTCCTCCAAGGATTAAGAAAGGCGATTTCGAAAGGAGGAGGTCTAGGTCAGCTGAGAACATTGATTTTGAGTTTCAAGAGAGCAGAAGATCATCCTCTGCATCACACAGTTCCAAACTCAAAGTTGCAAAGCTTGTGGATGGTTATCTCCAGGAAATCGCCCGCGATCCACATTTGCCCCTCTCAAAATTCACAGCAATTGCTTCATCAATCCCAGATTTTGCCAGGATTGATCATGATGATCTTTACAAGGCTATTGACATCTTTCTCAAGGTAGTTATTTTCATGACTTTTTCTTTTTTTTTTTGGGCCTTTTTTCTCTTTATTTTTCTGTTGCAACAGAGGTCAAATGAAGGAAATAATGAAGAGAAATTAAGTGTGTTAGGCTAATCAACAGTTGCAAATTAGGATGTTTGTCAATCTCATTCAGTGGATTACCAACCCATCTTGACCTTTGGATATAGTGTCCAAGTCTGGTTTGGTTAGTTATATTAACTCTGTCGTCGCTACATTGGTCTAATTTGTCTGAATGTCCGAGTAAGTTGGAAATCACCAAACCAAGATTGAACTGCCTTAATTTGACTTGATTGAGTTTTGAGTGTCTATGAAATTTGAGGTTTATTGGGGGGTGTTTTAATCTATTGTTAACTGTTGCAAAATTCTACTGCCTTCTCTGAACTGCTTGACATGTCTCTTTCTGAATACTTAGTGGTGCCTGCCTTCTTTTTCTCTTGTGTTACTATCTATACCCACTTTCCCTTGGATCAAAATATCACCTTTTTTCTTTGGAACATTCAAGTATTATTATTCCAATTTAGTTGTATTTGACAATGTAATCATAATCTTTGCTACAAATGCAGGGACATCCAGAACTAAACAAGAGCGATAGAAAGCGCTTGTGCCGGATATTAGACTGCCGAAAACTATCCATGGAAGTCTGTATGCATGCTGCACAGAATGAGTTGCTCCCATTAAGGGTTGTAGTGCAAGTTCTCTTCTTTGAGCAAGCAAGGGCTAATTTAGCTGGTGGCCAAGTTACAGAACTGCCAAGCAACATTAAGGCACTATTAGCTGCACAGGATGATCATTCATCAAAAGCTAATGCATCTTTCAGCAACAACAATGCTGCAGTGACACCAGCAGATGATCAGTGGAGTGTGTCTGGACTTAAATCACCGAAATCAAAGCTTTCGACGCTGAAAATGAAGCTTGCTGAGGATGAGGATTTGGAGGATAATTACCAAGACGGATTAGGGAAATCGTCATCGAGGGTAAAAGCATTTTGCATGATCCCTAATCGACCTAAAAGAATGTTGAGTAAGTTGTGGCCAAGCAATAAAAGCACAAGTGATCAGAAGAGCTGAAAGAGAAAGAATTCTTTTTCCCCTCCATTTCTAGTGGAACATGGTTAAATTAAAGGGTTAACATATACTAGCTTTGCCTTAATTTCTTCAAGTTAATTAGCTTTTTGTTCTTCCTAGTTCTTGTCTAAAAAACCTTGTAATATGCTAGGGAAGATAAACCAATGTGCAATATAGTTGTACGTACCTTATGCCTAATAAAAACTTTTAGAGGTTGAAGGGGCCAAAAAATAGATAGTCTCTCACTGACCTCTAGTAGTGCAAATTGTTGTAGGACCCTTGTAAGTTAGGCACATTTGGGACCAAGAATGTGTGCATATCAATGTATTATTCAAGAGCATCTACATCTTTATATCTTAAAAATGTAGCTCATTACTACCTCATTAAGAATATAGTGAACCATTCTTGAATCTTGATTGTGAACCAAAGATTTTTATTTTTATTATTATTTTTTTTGCTTTTGTTCCGCATAGTCCATACGGATTAACAACTATATATGGCTTTTGAGAGTTTAATATGGTGTGGCAACTTAGAAGACTTGGAGCAATAACAAGTCTGAGCAAATGTAACTGTGATGTCTGAGTTCCATATGCATATATGCAATCTAAATGTACAATAACTGCAGCAGTGCAGGTACTTTATTTTAAACAATTGTTAAAGCCACAAAGCTTATTTGATAATCACCATCTCCATTTGTTTGTTGGTACATCTTCCTTTATCCGACAATTAGTAAAGAAAGTGGGAAAAAAATTGCTAATATATCTACAAGATTACTATTAAAATATTCGCAAAAAAGAAGTTATGGAAATCTTCATTATTGTTTGGATTTGGTACAATTGTCTTGTCGCCAGACAGTTGTATTTGGGAACTTTTAAGTGATAATGTCTACTCAGTTAATTAAATAAATCCCTTTGTCCCATATAAGCCTTTGATTGCATTATATTACTAGGGTAATCCAGCAACCTTTCCTGTTGTTTTTGTCCTTTGTTTATAATGCTTAGCTGAAACTTGTTGCTTTTTTGTTAATCACTGCTAATAATTTGATTTGACAGGTTTTCATGAGCATGGATCATAGCGAAATATGACAAATTAGTGATTTTTTTCTTAATTATTACTCGTTAGATAGTTAACTTTATTGTATTCACAATCAGTTTGGGGTGGAAGGAGTATTCTTCAATAATTTAGGTGGTAATTAGTGAAACATTAAACATGGTGTTACTAATGATTTTTACGTGCATAAAGTTAAACACAAACCAGCTAGAATCAAAAGAAGCATGGGGACATGCGAGGTTGTTATCATCATTGAATTAAGACCACTATATACAAATACATACACTGTTTTAGAAATAGTAGTATTATTATAACTATTTAAAAGTTCTTTTTTCCTATATAAAAAAAATTGTGTTTATTTAATTAGGGCAAAATGATTGCTTTACCTAAACCTGGACCAGCCAAACACCTAAAACTGGTAGAACAAATCATTTCCAATTTTATGTTAGCCACTTGAAGGATTGTCATCATAAATTTTTTGATGAGCCAAGTTTTTCATGGTCCAACTTAATATTTGACTTGAACAGGAGTTCGAACCACATCCCTACACAAAAAAAATATATATTTGTAGAGGACCATTTGATTGTGATCATCTTGATTATCAAATTTAAGGATTAGGACCATTAATGGTTAATGATGGGAGAATAATATCTTCACATTAAGTTATGGATATATGTAGTCACCACTCAACCACACAGATGTTAATGATCATACACATTGCACAAGGAATATTGCTGCAATAATATCTTTTGCTTAACAAATTTCAATCTTCTTCTAAATATTTATTTTTCTGTTATAGAAATTGAAACAATGTGGGATATAGATGACAAATTTTTAATGAGTATTCTTCACTAATGGGATATAGGGTTTTTTTTTTTTTTTTTGGTCATTTTTCACATATTAATATAGAGATTCATTAGACAAGCCATATCGTTTCCAAAGGTCCTAAAAAACTGGATACCAAGTGATGGACCATTTGCCATTTGGTTTTCATCTCATCGCCACTTTTTGCAAATTTGCAGAACTACGCAAAATGTTCGAAACCACACACACAGCAGAAACGCTACATGTCAACTACTTCAATTTGTCTACCAAATCATACTTGCCATTCTAACCCTAAATAAATGAAAACCGATTTTCGAAGAGAGAATTCATTAATTAATTAATTAATTAGGTTTGAAAAGGAGAAATTGTCTCTTCATCAACGAGGACCATATATATATAAGCGTGTTCTTAAAAAGGTTACATTGAAAAGTATGTACTCCATCCGTCCTATAATTATTGTCCAATTTAGATTTTTATTTTTAGTTCAAATTGTACTAAAATGAAATCTCAAACTGGATAATAATTTTGGGACAAATGGGGTATGACACTTCGAACCGGTTGACATGCGATACGAAACCTACATCATAGATCGATGGCCTTGCAGATTAAGATCTTAACTTGATCTCCAAGTTGTTTTGAACTCATAAAATGTTATTATTAACATCATAAAAGCAATGCAAGCATGTATTAATGTCACGTTACATCCGTGGTCATTGTTTTGTTTATTGTATTAAGATTTAAGACAAATATGTATTAAGATTTTTTGAAAAGAATAATATTTTTTTTTTTACAAAAACGAAGAAAGAATCCCAGATCACGATTATGGCTAAACAAAACCAAATTTACAAGAACACTAATGAAAGTAAATATATAAAATCTTCATTAATAGACAATTCAAACCAGAAGTTTAAGCCATATATATGATGATGCATGGCTGCTGGTATTAATTCATCTTCACGTGATTAATTAACTAACAATTGGGCTTAGATTGGGAAACTTGGACGTCGGTGGTGGAATCAATGCTTTTGGTCCGGTGAAGACCCGCAGGCGGTGCCCGGTGAAGCCTACAACGAAATGAGCCGGCATGGGTGGTGGGGGAGCACAAGCAGCAGTTCTTGTTCATACTTCCCTGCCTAGCAAGCCCGCCACCACCGCCGTTTCCCGTCGTCACTGCCACCACCTCCGGTAATGCCACTTCAACTCCTCCACCAGATACCTCCACCTTCATAATACCCTTCTGCTGGATCACTCCTCCTTCCATTGATTCTTCAATAATCACTGTAAATCCTCCCACAAGTTAGGGGTTTAAAAATATAAAACAAAAAATGTAACAACATGTTTTCTATGTGTATCAAAATTGAGCTAAAATCCTTCATCAAATTTCAATAAATTTAACCAAAAATGAACACGTAGACAGATCAACATATCAAACAAAATCTTACCACACCCGCCTAGTATTAGAATTAATTCTAAGAAGGTGAAAAAAAGAAGAGAAAATAACTAATGATTGAACTTACAGATTAAGAGGGTCTATCTCCGGATTAATTATGTAGGAGCTAGCTACGCAAGGAAAGAGCTCAAAGAAGTGACTAAGGACATGGCTGGTGCACTGAATTTGCTTTAAATAAAGAAGTGAATTTTTTTTCCCAATAAAAAAGTAGGAAAATTTTGTTTAAAAAACAAAAAAAGATGATAAAAGGATAATGGAATTGAGCTATGGTAAAATGAAGTAAAGAGATAAGACAAGTGATGGGTTGGGGGTCGGGTAGGTCTTTGCCCCATTTTTTCATTAAAATGATGATAGAGATAGCAATACTACTGCAAAAAAAAATAAAAAAAAAAATAAAAAATAAAATTGTAACCATCTTTTAGGCTTTAATGGATAATAATAGGATAACTTTATCCCATGGTTTTTCTTTTTAATTTTGCCTTTGTCTCCGTATCATCACGAGTATGGTGATGTTGTTCATTAACGTCCCAACTCGGGTTTCATCAACTTTATGTATTGCTTCAACCACTAAAAGCTTACATTATCTAACCAGCATAAATATGCATTGTTCCTTTCTTTCCCCCTCCTTTTCTTTTTGAAGACATGAATTTCTTGTTTTTAACTTGAAGATTGCTCCAATTGGGAAATCTTTTGACCACACTCTCTCTCTAATTATGAAAAATGGAATTGCTTATTCATTTTGTAAGGGTGTGGTACGCATATGGATGTCACATTATTCATGGTAACATTCTAGTAAAGATATTTCAAAGTTAAATCAAAATATATGTAGCCAAATTCAATAGCCAAAATAAAAAACATGTTTAGATCTTCGAAGTTCAAATTGTTGAAGCACATGATCTTCTAATAACTACTAACTATTAAAATTGTGTGCATATTTATTGGGGGATTATCATGATGGAGTTCTTTCTTTAAAAGATGGCTATTTTGTTATGGGCCGATCAATTAATACGGGATCCACTAAGAACTCAGTCCACTAAAAAATTGTTGGGTAATGGAATTTCATTTTTGATCTTACTCAAGCCCAGCTCTTTTGATCAGCCTTCCAACCCCATCTCCGCCACCTTTTTTTTTTCCTCTCCGCCACCTCCCGCCACAATGTTCAATTCCTCCCCAAGTACAGTTACCTGGGGGAGCAGCAAGATATCTTAATTGAATAACTCTGATTTTCAATTCAGACTCTCCTCCTCTTCCTCTCACGGGTACTGCCTTTTCGTTTATTTAATTTCGTTTTTTTTTTTTCTAGTTGCTTAGACTACTGCTTTTTGTCTCAACGGTGCATTGGTTGTCAAGTTTTCTGGTGTTAGTGGGAAGCTTTTATATCCATTGTTCTTTCTTTTTTTCCTTGAAGTGATTGTTGCTCCTAAAATTCGAATCTTGTTATATAGCGTTTTAGAAACTCGACAAAAAACAGGCCCTTTTTTTTTTTTTTTAATCAATGTTCCCCAGATGGCCAGATTCAATTGTGATCTGTGGACTAGGTTTTTACTTGATTTAAGTTTCTATTACACATTTTGTAGCAAGGGATTCATTAGTTCTTACAAGGGCTAATGCATGATCATGCATCTAGTTTATAGTCATTTGAAGTAATGCCAAAGTTTACCTGTCTACTTTCTATCTGGCTCTCAGACTTAGCTTTTAATTTAGTTAAAACGCACAAATTTAACTTTATGTAATGATTGAAATCATATCACAGTGCTTTACCATATGTGCTTACATGGTTCAGCTTCTTTCCTTCTGGGTATATGCATATATCAATCCAACTATGTTCAGTCAGGATGCTTCTATGTGTGTCTCTGTTCTGCTAGACATTGAGAAAACCTTTCTGAACTTGTATTCGAAAATTAGTTTTTGGCACTATTTTGGTGTGCATGTTTCATGTCTGATTAAAGTTTTGTGTGCGTACAGGGTCCATCTTTTGTTGGATAGTGACTACATTTTATGTTGATTTTGATCGGGTTATACCATAGTGCTATTTCATATGGAGAAAGTATTCAAGAATAAAATCAGTGAATTGTTTCAATGTGTTTCTAGTTTGTCAAGAAAATGCGTCTTCTCTGTTCTTTCTATTGGACCTCTTCCTGATCACATTGCATTTATTATGGATGGGAATCGAAGATATGCTAAGAGATGCAACTTGTTAGAAGGGGCTGGCCATAAATTAGGTTATGCAGCTCTAATGAATATGCTTAAATACTGCTATGAGTTAAATATTAAATTTGTGACTATATATGCCTTTAGCATTGATAACTTTAGGCGACGACCAGAAGAAGTTCAGTCTACTATGATACTGATACAAGAAAAGATTGAAGATTTGATCAAAGAAGAGAGCTTGGTAAATCAATATGGAGTTAGGATTTATTTTCTGGGAAATCTAAAACTTGTGAGCAAATCAGTCAGGTTGGCAGCAGAGAGAGCCATGGCAGCTACTGCTGGGAATTCAAAAGCAGTGCTATCAATTTGTCTTGCCTATACTTCTACAGATGAGATAGTGCATGCAGTTCAAGATTGTTGTGATGAGAAAAAAGAAGAAATAAGATCTTTGGAGTCAAGTGGGACTGAAAATGGTTTAAGCGCAGTGAGAGGGAACGGGAAGGACAAAAGAAAGGATATCATTGTTGTTCATGATGTCGAGAAACACATGCATGCTGCAGTTGCACCTGATCCTGATATTATAATACGTACTTCGGGTGAGACCCGTTTAAGCAATTTTCTTTTGTGGCAAAGTGCTTGGTGCCTTCTCTATGCACCCTCAATATTATGGCCACAGATTGGTTTTCGGCATTTAGTTTGGGCTGTTGTGGAGTTCCAAAGAAATTTCTGTTATTTGAAGCAGAAAATGAAGCTATCTTAATACCAAATGGATATTTTCTTGCCACTTTGTAACTCATGATGCGGACTTTGGTCTGAAGCTGCTTAGGTTATACTATGAGACAGACTCTACGAAGGTCGGGACTGGTTTTTTCTAGTGTCCTTGTCCTCAAAGTACTGTTGATCTTTTTCAGCTATAGAGGAACATGGTGTATAATTTCACTGGTGACATGTTTCTCCATCTCTGATCATTGCTACACACTGTTGCATCTATATATACTGATAGTGGTAAGTTACCTGTGGCACTTCATGGATGAAAGCAGTTTTGTTACTGTTAGGCATATATTGAGAAAGTTGTGATGGAAGCCTACTAATACATTTCCTCCTTGTCCATTTATTATGTGTTTTCATCATGGATTTTTGTCTTATTATGTTTCAACTCATAATGATGGCTCTTATTAGGATAGAATCAAACAATTGACATTGGTACCCTCAGTTTTAAGATATTCTTACTGTGGAATGCATGGGTGAAGACTGTTAGTTACCAGATTAGCTGCTGCTTTTGTTTCTGCCCCTAATCTTCTAAATATAAGACTTACATTTGCTGAATTGCATTCTTTTTCAGTTTTTATGATAAGCTTTTTCAGTTTCAGCTGCATCTGCCATATCGTTGTTTCTTAGAGATCAACTGTGTTGAAGTTGTTTTTGTAATTCTTCATGCTTGTACACCAGCTATCTCTGGAAAGAAATTGCCGCGTTCTTCTTTTAACACATCGAGTTAGATGAAATGGGTATCCTTTCATTTAGTTTTTATGTAAGTTTGTCTTGTGTAAAGACATATTAGCAGATCAACCTTCATCCCTTTCAGTCTGGTCTTTAGATGCTAACCTCTGACACTCCAGCACCATCAAGAGATTCTACTTCTCATGATATGCGGATGTCACTTCTGAATTTAAGATCTGCAGTTGAAACATAACTGGGGATACACACTCCTTATTTTGGTCCCTCTTCCGGCCCCAATAATACTCTTAATTTGGATTTCATCACCCTTGCTTGAAACAAGCATGCTTAGAGAACAATAAAGAGAAACAATTACCTGCAAGCAGACTACCTCGCTGAAGGTGTGAGTTCAGCTTAGGCACTGTGTGGTCAAGCTTTTATGTTTTCTGCAGTTTAGGCTGAAGTCAGGAAGATAGAGTTTTTTTAAGGTTAAAGTGGTTACAGAGTTGTTGTTAGGAGAGCAGGCACTGCAACCAGATGTGTATCCAGTATAGAACTGCCTGCTCATAGCTTCTCAGTAGAAATTTACTCAGCCTCTGATGCGGTCATGAGTAAATTCGAAGCATTCTTTGACCCAATATCATAGCAATTTGCTTTTGTAGGAGTAAACAAAATAATGCATGCCTCCATTGAGAAGTTTGCAAACTCTTTACCCTTCTCCCAGCTTCTGGCTATCCTGAAACATGACACTGGATCAGTAGTTAAGCACCTGCAAACCAGGACCGGTTGTGGATGGCCGTGGAACACCAGTTCTACCAGTTCTCAGCAGAGGAGATTCACAAGGGCAAATGCTAAGGGGAAGATTACTGTAGTCCAGTGGACGGTTTGCTGTGTGAGCAGTACAACTGCATATTGAAAGATCTGATTAACAAATAAATCCAGGAGCTGCTGCTGTAACGTACATCTTATCTCTGTCCATCTTTTAATTCCGATGCATTTCAAATTTCAATCTAGCTTATGTTAAAGTTGCATATGAGTCGGATGGTGTGGATTGGCAATGATTCTTGGTTTAAGTGTTTTGGGTTATTGTTCAGTTGTCCATGTACTTTTTACTGGTTGATGAACTACTTTGCTATCTACGTACATGCATAATGGAAATATGGGATAGTTTATGGTCTTTCGGCAACTTTGGTTTTGGAGTTGTACGTCAGGAAGTGAATTTTATGAAACAGTTGATGTTGGTGCGATTGAGACCCTCTGTTTTATTTGATACTCTAACTGTGGAATGTAAGACCAAAATCTCTGAAGCTGTTAACTTACCAGATTAGCTGCTGCTTTTCTTTCTGCCCCTAATCTTCCAAATATAAGAATTACATTTTCTGAATTGCATTCTTTTTCAGTTTTTATGATAAGCTTCTTCATTTTCAGCTGTGTGTCTGGCTGTCTGCCATATCCTTGTTTGTTAGAGATCAACTGTGTTGAAGTTGTTTTTGTAATTCTTCATGCTTGTACACCAGCTATCTCTGGTAAGAAATTGCCGAGTTCTTCTATTAACACATTGAGTTAGATGAGATGGGTATCCTTTTCATTTAGTTCTTATGGTAAGTGTGTCTTGTGTAAGACATGTTAGCAGATCAACTGACTACTTCAGCCCTTTCAGTATGATATTTAGATGCTAAATTCTGACACTCCAGAATCTTCAAGAGATGCTACTTCTCATGATATGCGGATGTTACTTCTCAATTTAAGGTCTGCATTTGAAACATAACTGGGGACACACCTTGTTTTGGTCTCTTTTCCATTTGGATGCTATTCTAATATCAATGTGTACTTCAGGTCCCAATAATACACTTAATTTGGATTTCATCACCCTTGGTTGAAATAAGCATGCTTAGAGAACAATAAAGAGAAACGATTACCTGCAAGCAGACTATCTCACTGAAGGTGATTCGGTGAGTTGTGCTTAGGCGCTATGTGGTCAAGCTTTTTTCAGCAGTTTAGGGTGAAATCAGGATGATGGAGTTTCTTTAAGCTTAAAATGGTTATAGAGTTGTTGCTAGGAGAGCAGGCACTGGGCAGCCACATGTGTATTCAGTACAGAACTGCTTGCTCGTAGCTTCTCAGCAGGAATTCACTCTGCCTTCTGATACGGCCATGAATAAATTGGAAGCATTCTTTGACCCAAGGTCATAGCAATTTGCTTTTGTAGGAGGAAAAAGAAAAATAATGCAAGCCTCCATTGCAAAGTTTGCAAACTCTTTTGTCCTTCTCCCGGCGCCTGGCTGTCCTGAAACATGACATTGGATCTGTAGTTAAGCACCGGCAAACCAGGACCGGAGAGAATAGCCATGGAACACCAGTTCTCTGCAGAGGAGATTCACAAGGGCAAATGCTAAGGGGAAAGATTATTGTAGTCCAGTGGACAGTTGGCTGTGTGAGCAGTACAACTGCATATTGAAAGATCTGATTAACAGATAAATCCAGGAGCTGCTGATTGTAACACACATCCTAAAAAATTATAAAGTAAATCCTTGTAAAAGCTGTAAGGATTCTCTTATCTCTGTCCATCTTTTACTTTCCTATGCATTTCAAATTTTCAATCTAGCTTATGTTGAAGTTGCATATGAGTCGGAAGGTGTGGCTTGCCGGTGATTCTTGGTTTAATTATTTCGGGTTAATGTTCAGTTGTCCATGTACCTTTTACTGGTTGATGGACTATTTACTACGAACACGCATAATGGGAAATTGGGAATATGGCATAGTTTCTGGTCTTTTGGTTACTTTGGTTTTGGAGTTGTATGTCAGGAAGTGAACTTCTGGTAAAACACATATACTGTCTGTGTTGTTACAGGGTGCTTGTTAATTTGGATGATTTCATACGAGCAGGGAGTTCAGTTTTTCTATTTAATCCTTTTACTCGGGGTGATCGTGACTTTTAGTCCCCCCTCAAGTTTTATTTTACCAAAGTAAAGATTATGGTACCAAAAAGAACTTTGTACATCACGAACAAAGGAGAAAGGAAACCAAAAAAATATGATTAAATTGCTCTCTAAACGATGCATGACCTAAAAATTCAATCTCTCGCTTTCTCCAGATGGAATCCAAATACTACTTATGAACAGCCGATCAAATATTTCCTTGTATCCTTCCAATCTTATCGACTAACCGTAATCCAAATAATTGAAAATAAATATTATGTAGAGACGTTAAGAGATATTACCTCCGTCCCAAAAAAAATAATCCATATTGAGTTTTCAAATTTATACTAATAGCAGTATAAAATTTAAAACTCAATATGGACTATTCCAGAAAGTATTAATAATAACATTTGAACTCTACATGCGCACAAGCCAATCTCATTTAACCTGACTAGCTTAAATATCAGTGTAGATAAGTGTGCAAAATGCGACACAAAGTGCACTGCATAGATGTGATTGAAATGTGAAACCTAAACATAACTGGAGAGAAGAGTAGGGTTTAGGGCAAATATAGGGGGATTCAAAAGAAATGTGGCAGTTTAGATGCGTGGTAAAGCCTTAACAAAGGCCACAGGCTCTTTAGCACGCCCTGCCTTCTTCTAACCATAACTCATCCCTGACTTCACTCACATCTCTCACTCCACCAACCAAACCATTTATTTGCCTTTTCTTTTCCTATGAAAAATAATTTTGATGCTCCAGTAATTAATTTTTAGGGATTATAAAACACTTAAAAAAGGTTGGATAGCAACCCAAAAAACAAAAAAAAAACAAAAAAAAAAGTCAACTAGTAAAAATGCACGGGCATGCAGCCGCAAAATTCGTAGGTAATTCATTTCATTGTCCCAAACAAAAAAGCTGCGTCATTAAAAAGTGAATGAAGAGAGGGTTCGAAGTTTAAGAGCAGTTTGTTTGTTTTGATTGTTTTGTTTTTGTTGATTGGTCGTCGATCACGACCTTCTATATTATTATTGAATAACATCTGCCTCCTTGTCTGATCTGGGGATCTTTAAGGATAGCTACGTTTCCTTGTTGTCATTTGGGCACTACCCCGACAATGCTCTAAATTTTGATCTCCAATTTCCATACGTACTAGTAGTACTTTATAAACCCTAAAAGTCAATTGCCCTAATTAACAAACTTAATTAGTAGTTTTAACCCCCATCTGATTCCATATTTGATTCCGTTATAGCAGTGGTGGAGTCAGAAAATCAATATTGAGGGTGCGAAATTTGTACAAAACTAGTACTAATAATATTAGGGAATCAATGTAAAAGGTGCGGAAATTATTTAACATATAATTTCTATTAAAAATTTAGGATATTCCTATTAAGTACAAAAAATTGAGCAGGTGCGACCGCACCTCTGTGTCCCCCCTAGCTCCGCCACTGCCTTATAGATTGAAATTGATATTATATGTCACTAATATGGTGTGTTACCTCTTTGTGATTTCGCTGTAGTGATCTGTGATCATGCTGTCGTCTGTCGATCCATGAAACTGATTACCCACATAATTGATAAGTTTCATGTGAGTTATTGCATGAGATAGGTCTTGATTTTACATAATCCACATAAATCACAAATTAACTATAACTTTTTTTTTGTCTTTTAGTATCACCTCTATAACACAATAACTATTTCTAACCGATCTAGTTAAATTAAGCAGGTGAGGATAAATTCTAATATTTCCTCTGCCGATTTTAAGTTTTTACTTTTAGTTCAATTTGTACTAAAAATGAAAATTTAAATTGGGTAATAATTCTGGGACGGGAGGAGTAACAATCATTTAAATAAATTGTGACTAGACTGAATAACTATAATGTGGTGGGAATTTTCAATATCAGATCATATGGCATTTTGTAAAGTGTGTATATATATATATATATATATATATATATATACAAGTCAAATGCAATAAATGAAAAGCATGCACCACCAACAGCAGAATACGTTGTGACTGTTCATCCATTTATATATATGTGAACTTTATTCAATTATACATTGACAAAATCTTTTAGGACGAAACAATAGTAAGTAGTTTCAAACGGTATACAGAAACGTGTCCATTTTTGGTTGAGGATACATCATATACATAGGAATACAATGTTTTTTCGTGTATTAAAATTTTACACATCGAGAACGACGAGAAGGAAAGAATATGTGGGAAAGGATCGAAGTTAAAAAGAAGAAGAAGGAGAAAATGGCACTGCCAACAAAAAAAGGGGATCGAGGAGCAGTGATGTCTTTAAATAGATTGATCGCCAAAAGTGGTGACAAAACTGAGGAAAAAGAGTACAATTATCACAGTAGTCATAACTCATAAGCATGCATGATGGACAATGGTATGAATTATGAAAAACCCCCAGTCACGTTGTAGTAATAGGGTTGGCGTGCGTGCCCATGCATTTAATTCTTCCAAGGCTTTCATTTTTAGTACTACCACCACCATTTAAGCTCAATTGTATTATCAACTTATTCTAATTTTTTTTTATGAGGGGTTTCTTTTTTGGTCAGTTTCAGAAATAAAGCTGGGTTTTTTTGCAGGCTTTATTTATTTATTTATTTATTTTTAACGGAGGGTTTTGTTGTTCATGACTGGGGAATGGGTAGATTAGACACTGTAGAGTAGTAGATTAGACTATTAGAGAGATAGAGTTATTAGTTTTAAGGGGACAAAATGATCAGGGGGGAAGACTGACACTTTTTAACCCATTTCAGTTTTTTTTTCAGACTCAGTAATTTTCCATGTTTTCTTCTCTCCATATCAACGGGTGATATGAAATCCGGATTATACGGTCTTTGCGATGCAGGTTTCTTTTTTTTTTTTTTTGGGCCTAAATATGATAAAAAAAATATTTCAATATATACGGAAGCAGAAATTGTTTGTCCACTGAATAATAATGCAGCATCTCTAACTTTGAATTCCAATCCAATATGATTTGATATGGAAACAATACGTTCTCTTCTTGTTTTTAGTTATGTTTTGATTTACTTATCTTCCCCGTTTTGTTGTACTTCTAACAAATTGCATGATATTCATTTTGAAGGGATGGAATATAGTTTTTTCACCTAGCACAATTTGGATTTAAAAATGTAGAAAATCATTAAGATGAAATAGACTATTTTTGTTCATGACGCACAGAATACAATAAACGGGAAAAAAAAACGTATTTCTTTCTAGCTGAAAAGAATAATTCATTTCAGATGATACAACAAAATGCATCATTTTTATTTATTTATTGGAGGAAAAAGAGTACCCAAACATGATTAAAACTTGATTGTCCTTCCTACTAAAAAGTAACAATAATAAGAAGTCGAAACTCAAATTCCGTAGGGTGCACATATCGTAAAATGCTAGTGTAGGATTACGTGTCCGGTATAATAATAATATTAATTATCAAAAAAAGCCAGACTACATAGGCTGGCCTTCTGCCGCACCTTTGGTTCGCAAGAATTTGGAAAATCCCAAAAAACTATTTAAGTCCTTGAGTTCTTACCATTTCTGTCGAATTGATTTCTGCCAGGAGGCTTAAATTTGATGTTTGCCATGCATGAACATCATCATCATCATCCAGAAAAGTGTTTTCGCTATAAATGATGAACATCGCAGAGAAGACGAGATGTGTACTATATAATAAATACATATATAAATTCGTAAAAACATTAAATTAACACCCAACATCATCATGATTTCGCCTTCTTTTACGTACTGATGAAATGAGAAAATAAACTGTATCCACGGTAGAGAGACAGCTAGCTGGAAACCCTCTCTAATATATCCAGACCCAAATGAAAATGAAGCTTATTAAATAAATGGGAAATAGTTTGATGATAAAATGGATGAACTGAAGAGCCACTTTTGTTGATTTTTCTTTGCTTATGGCAACCCAACATGGTTCAAATCCATTTTCTCACACAGTCACACAGTCAGTCACAGAAGCTAGCAGGGGTTTTCTTTCTTTCTGAGAGATTGGGGTGGCATATTACATATATGCAATAATAATAATAATACTCAGTTCATTGGGAAGATTGTGCTGAAAAGAAGAGTGTGTAAGCCGACAACAATACCCAGAAATCAGACTTGTCAAATCTCTAAGATCTTCCTTAGACCATATTTTCAAAGCTCCGTAACATGCTTCAATAGTGGATCTCTCTACTATACTGTTCACCATTTCACCATCCAACATGTTGTTTAATTACTTTCTAGTTACTTTTAAATGAACACTACTATTGTACGTAACGTTATTCAATGGGTTACAAAGTTACTAATATGTGAATATTTAGAAAATGTTGTAATTTGGAATTTGTCTCAAATTGATGCTAGGGTTTACATCCTCTGACACACTGACAACTAACACTGAAACCATCTCATATATTGTCGTTAAAATCAAATCTATACTTTGCTGCCTCAATTCCTTTTCCCTTTCCCCGGTTTCTTTCTCCTCTCCCATGCACCAATGGCCCTTTTTTGAACCTGGATTTTGGCGTCTCAACCTTTTCCAACCGTCAATTAGTCATTACCACCTTTTTCCTACTCTCTCTATCTCTCTGGTGGATATCTTTTTCCAATGCTGCATCGAAGTACTACTTGTTTTTATGTCAATCACTTTTTTGTCTCTTCATCATCATCTCAGAGGATCATCCTTAGATGGACCTTTTTCTTCAGTAGCACTACCAATCCATGGCCCTTTAAAAATTTTTCCTTTTTATGTATTGAACCTTCGATTGAATTTCTCTATGATGTTTGAAATTATTATTCTGAGTAATTCATATTCAAATGTTACAAGTCTGTATCGCAATAACACTCTTTCAATAGACATGAAGGTGCCACATGTATCATCACCATCTACAAATTGATTTTATAAGAAATCAAGGTTATTACAATTGTAAGCTATGTTTTTTTTTATTATATCTTGCTTTTGTCCATTGTTTTTACGTTTTTCTAACTTTAGTATTATTTTTATTTCTGAAAAAAAGAAGAAGAAATCAAGGTCATTAAGTGGCACACTACAAACAATTCCTTGAACTATCAATCTTCTTCCCGCTAAATGCAAATTACCTGCGCAAGGGGCAATTCCTTTCATCTTGTGGCTACTGGAATTAATGATTGCAGATTTTTCTGCGATTTAATTAACTTGTTATTCCATGATTTGAATGGAGACTTTTGAACTATCGCTAATGGCTGTTCTAAGTTCTAACTTTGGCAGGTTTATTAAATACGCAGAATTTAATCAAATGGTCACAATATCTAGGTCTAATTTGCTACTACTACACTACTGCTTGGAGTGTCATTTACTTTGATGTGTGCTAATACTAGTATTATGCTATATGCTTGGCAAAGTTGGCACTCTTACGCATTGTAGAACATTTAACAGAATACGGTTATGCATATGTAGAACTTGTATACTCGTAATTTTATGAGTAGTTATAGTTTTTTCAAAAAATATACGCTTTCCGTCCCGAGGTGATGATTAGCATTGTACTTTATTTTAATACGAATTGTGTTAGAAATTAAATTTAAATTGAACAATTTTCAAAACAGAGAGGATATGTATTGATCTTAATACTGCTTGTTCCAAGGAATGGAGCCAAATAAATAGATTGGAGTATATTAATTCAACAAATGAAATTTGCTGGTTTCATTAGGCTCTGTCCTTATATACTACTTTTTTTTTACACTTTTATACATGTTTTCATATTTTAATATCAAAAAATACTTAAAAGCACACGTTTCAACGATATAAAATAGATAAAGAATTTAAAATGCCACAAAAATTTTGAAATAATGGATCCAACTTCTTGATTAATTTGGCCAGTAATGAATCGATAGGCACGTGCTAAAGGTTACTTGATGTGAAAATAATTGGCTACAACACCAGAGGCGAGGCAAAGAGGCAAGGTGTGTAATGCCAGAACGCCCCAGTTTTGCATAATTCAACAATTAGCCACAACTTTTAAATTCAGCATTTATTCTAAACCTGTATTCCTAATTATTATTATATTAGCTCATATTACAAGTGGCAAATTACAACCCTAACTATCCCACTGTCAACGCAATATTCCTTGGTGATATTTTGGACCATTTAAATTAATTAAGAACTGGAGTAGTAGAACAAACGTAGGGGGAATTATGGAGATCTTCCCAAAACTAGAGTAGTACTATATAGCTATTAATTTATTGACTTCATTTATTAAGTAATCAAATTGGAATTTGGTGTCACAATAATCAAATACTACATCGAGTTCAAACCCTGGCCTTTAGCAAGTAGCATATTGCATGTAGTTGTAAAGGTTTATTCGCCTATTCTTTTGTCGTCCCACTTTGGTTCGATTATGTATATTGCACGGAGTATTAATCTACGTTTTAAAACGGTTTTCAACAAACAGGAAAGTATTTTGAAACGAATTAAATTATATATATATTTTTTCCTTTTTTGTTTCAAAAATGAATATCAAGACGAGTCGTATAAGTGTCAATATCTTGATTTCCTAGGACTTGAAATTGTTACTTGTGTTCTTACTATGATTTTCGTTTAAAAGGATTTCTTTTTTTTGTTTTTTTGGGTGTACGAAAGTTTTATTTTCTCGGTATCAATTTAAAAGGGAAGTTTGTAGTATTAATTTTTTAAAGTTTCTTTTGCTTAAAACCTTTCAGACATATTCCATATTTTCCCCGGAATGAGTTCACCTCTTCTATCTATAAAAAAACCACCACCCAGAAGCAGTAACCTCCAAACCAGAAAAAAGAACATAATTAAACAGACAAGGTAATAAACTCGCCCAGAGAGCCAACAACTCCCAAGTTGTTACGAGCCATTAATTAACCCGCCTTTTTTTTTGTTTATTATTCCCAATATATTTTTATACTACTAAATTTCGGCTATAAATACATTACAATCCTCTCAACAAACTTCCCCCAGCTGCACATTTCCGCGTACCAGTACATACATGAACTAGTTCCAACTTCCAAGTAGGAAACTCAAGAGCCACACCACTCTTACTCTCATCATCATTATTTTTCCTTTTCTTTTTCTAGGTTTCTTAAAATTCCCATCTTTCTCAAACCTTCCTCTTTTCCTCATACCAAAACCCAACAACCCACCAAAAAAAAAAAGAAGAAGAGAAAAATGGAAGAAGCCATGAGGCGGCTAGGCTGTTTTCCACAAACACCTTCCGAATCCGACACTTTCTTCAACAATTTATCAACCACCTCCCCTGCATCATCAAAGAGATGCTCCCCGGTAGCTTCCTCCGCCGCAAAGAAGTCACTCATTAAAGACGGCGGTAGCACCGGCGGCGGCGGAACCATGAGGTACCGTGGTGTGCGCCGCCGTCCGTGGGGACGTTATGCGGCTGAAATAAGGGACCCGCTGTCCAAAGAGAGGCGGTGGCTTGGGACGTTTGACACCGCGGAAGAAGCCGCTTGTGCTTACGACTGTGCTGCGAGAGCCATGCGCGGCGCAAAGGCTCGAACCAATTTCATTTACCCAGCTTCTTCTCCTCCTCCTTCCCTTCATCAGTCCACCCTTGATACTAGTAATCATCTCAGTAACACTTCTTTCCCTTTCCCTACAAAATCTTCCTCGGCCCAATCTTCTCGTAATTGGGCTGACTTATCTCCTGCATCCACCAATATTAATCAAAGGAACAGTATTAATGGTGGTAATCCGGTGAACATGCTTTTCTTGCGTGACTTTTTCAACTCTTCTTCTTCAAACACCAACATTACCACCAATAATCCCTCAATCAGTACTAATAACAAATATTCCGGGCCTCGGAAATCCAGCAGTTCACGTACCAAAAAGCTTAATAATATTCATAATCTGTCATCATCATCTTGGTCTGCTGCTGGTACTACTACTACTAATAATAGTATGATGAGGAATAATAGTAATGATGTTAGTGAGGATAATAATAATAATAATAGTCAAGTGAACTGCTTGGAGTTCTTTCCATCCGAGCCGTCGGATTCTTCTTCTGGGTTGTTGGAAGAAATCATTCAAGGGTTTTTCCCTAAACGCAAAGCTGTGAAGCCTGAGCCGGAACCCGAGCCGGAGCCAGTCATCAGCATGGACAACAACGGTGACGTTTCCACCATGTCAATCTCCGGTGGGGTGAAAAAGAGGATCGGGGATTCCGCCTACTTTGATTGTCACGTTCCAATTCCTCAGCAGCTTGACAGTTTCATTCATTCCCAGCCTTTGGAGCCCCCGCCGCTCTACGGCTTTCCTACGCAAAGCCCTGGAGGATATGTTCTGCAAGGTGGATCCTCGTTTTCTTCTTCTCATGAAATCATGTTGGGTATGGGTTTAGCCGACGGGTTCCATCACTACCCGGATCTTCTAACTGCTTTGGCCGCCCGGATCGAAAATGCTTCAAGTTCTACTTGAGATCATGTACTGTTTACATTTGTATGCAAAGTGATTTTCTCTTTATTTTCATGTGATCTAATTTCAGTTAATCATGAGAGTAGTAGTTTATTATACCAATGAAAATGCTAGTAATTAGAAGTATAATTTGCTACTACAAATTAGTACAATGGTCTCTTTTGAAGAGGGTTTGACCTTTCTTCGACTTGGGAGCTTGAATGGAAGTCCAGGCCAAACCTTCTTTTCATTGGCCAATAATGTGTGTACTTTGGACTTTGGAGGAGTACTTTAATGAAAAAGCAGTTGCACTTTTTAGTTCAGTTTTTCTTTTTTCATTATGTATCTCTTGGATTTTGTAGGACAAGGGAATTTCACAGATGGGATGCGCTGCCTTTTTTTTCTCTATTCAAGTACATCTAGTAGTAGTAAATAGCACCCCCCCACATTTTACATTCTTGGCAGGAAAAATGATGGTCCAACTTGATCACATCCTGTGAAACGTAACTGTAGAAGAACTTTCTAGGGTTTGGTACAAAATTGTTGTCAATGGGGCTGCGCTTATTTATTTCTGTTCATTAACATTCCTCTACGCAAGTCTTCTTCAATAATTAAGGCCTTTTGGGCTAGAAGGGAGAACAGGTCAACTTGTTATTTGTTAGGATTTTGATCTTATGAATCTGTATATTTAAAAGTAACTTGTTAATAGTAGGCTAAGAGTGGTTGTATAAATGCATCAACAAAAAAGAAAGCATCTTCATCCAATGAAACTTATGTTTTATTTATAATTATGGATTTATCTTTTTCTAGTTGTAAGTTATAACTTTAATTTTGTTAATGTGGGAATCATAATGTGTGGTACAAGTGACATAAGTACATTAAATAAAAGAAGTGGAGAACAGAGAAATATGACTTTGAATCTTGATGGAGTAATTGAACTGCTCAGGCAAGATCAAAGACGAGGAGGAAAAAAAAATGAAAACTGGACAATCTCTTGAGACAATGAAAATATAATCTATCCGGTATACACTATACTTAAAATAATCAAAATACCAAAAAATAAAAAATAAAAAAAAAATCTGGGGATGAAAAAATGACTTGGTTAAAGTGCGCCATATGTTAAGAAAATCAGTCAAGCGGGCCTAATTTTCTTTCTCTTTAACTTGAGCCCAAAGTTTAGATCAAGAGTACACCCTTAAAAGTTTAAAACAAAGCGAAAACATAGAACCGACTTAATTTGGAAAATTCGGTTTTTGTGTCCCATATTGGCTAAGAGCAACAACAATGGTTGAACCAAAATAGGGAATCTCTCAGTACCACGTCATTGGGCCACTATACTATACCCTCATTCATTATTTTTTTTTCAATGGTTGAACCAATCAAAAATGGGTCCTATATTGTCTTTTTGTTTTTTCATTCTAGTACAAGATTCTTTTACTTCCTATATTTATTTTTTTAAAAGAACCTTCTTGTACTGTGGGACCATCTGTCATAAAACTTGACCACTTTTTGGAGTTTGTCTGTACTATCCGGTGTAGTTTCTTTACACCCACTCCAATGGCTAGCCCACTAAAAAGGTTGTGTAGTGTCAGATACTACACCACCATTGTGATTGCTCTAAATCTAGAGGATACTGAGGAAGTCATAGCTATAAAAAGCAAGCTGGCTGCTTGTGAACCTTGTCTTTGCGCTTGGGGCAATGAGGCAGCTCATGAGGTTCTAACCGAGGCATGTCTATTGCTGGTTGAAAACTATTTCCAAACCCCTTCTTCGGCCTGGACTTAGTCCTAGGCCGTCGAGAATTTCTGGAAAGGGCTCCCTTCTGAAAAGAAAGCCCTACAATTTTTAATTCAAAATCTTGATTCTTTATTATGTTAAAATAATAGTAATATTTAATAGTGTAATGACGGTGCTTAGCTTTGCCTACAATTTTAGTTCATAACTCCATTTTTAATTTGATCAGTAGAATAACCAAGGTTGTTTATTGAGCTCCATTATCGTTGAATAGTGCAAACAAGTGGCACAGAGAGGATCCCGTGCCTTCTTTTGCACCCGAAAAATTGAGTTAATTAGTAATTTTTTCAATATCATTTTTCCCATGCTAAATAAAAAAAAAATTAGCTTCCAATATATCTCGATATGTAGTTATGATGAATGTGTTTAAGTTCTTTGCAGATTCCCATATAATCTGCTAGTATTTCCACTTATTTTCCCTTGAAAGCTAGTGTGTAAGAGCAAAAAGCCTCCACATGTAAGAACACCTGGATCGATGAGAAAAGGGGGAATAAGAAAAGAAGAAAAGGTAGAACGATGAAAATGATAGTAAAACAGAATGAAAGAATCATCATGAAGACGAGAAGCGAAATCGGAATACTGGTTACTGCTTGTACTAAAATTTAGATAGCAAAACAAAGGAGTCAAGAATATAGTAACTGATTGTCCAAATTAAACGAATATCGATCGGACTTTGATTACGATTTTGACTTCTTCCTCTTGTTGTACTGGGACTGTGCGACACATTTTGGTGGTTTTAGGAAACTTGACACAATCGTTTTCTACGACGTGAATAATAATCATATTATTAAAATCACAATTAAATACTATTAATTATTTCTAAACTATTCCTACAAAATTGATGTTTAATTTTGAAAAAATTAAATCGATTTTTTTTTATTTTTCGCGGGATGACCAAACCGTTGATCCCCCTCTAATTTTAGACTTCCGATTATTCTACAGGGGTGGTGTTTAGCAAACCACAAACAAAAAACATTAGAAACAGCGAAAACTCCGGTCGACTTTTATTTTTGGTCTTTTGCTAATACGAATTACTAGCGGACGTTGATTTTGCTTGCCTTCTGTTCCAGCCAAAAATTTCCTGCGACACTCGGCATTTTGTTCATCTTATTAAAGCTGATCCTTAATTGTAGCCATTTGTCTCGCTGAGAAAATCTCAGATGTAATTATTCGTACGGTGTATATTTTAGTTTCCCTGTTACGGTTGATGCGTTGATGCAAGTAAAATGCATTTTCTCATCGAACTATTTAGGGCTTCATTTTTTCATCAATTCTGATAGGATTCTAGTCTGAGTTCTGCACATCTATTTCGTGTCTAAGGTAGGTGTTTAAGCATGTAATCTCCAACCTTAATTATCGTTTTCTATCGATTAAATTGACTTTTTGGGGGCTTACATTAATCAAAGGGTTTCTTTCCCCCTTTGGAAAACCCACAACTTCAATTGTCAAAGTTTTGCATAGCTGAATTAGGTCAAGCTCGTGGTAAAAGTTCCAGAATTTGAATGTAGAAAAGCAAAAAAAAAAAATAAAAAATAAATAAATAAAAAATTTGAGCCCAAATCTTGACTTTTCAGGGGACTGTATTTGCTCACGCATGGTTAACTACTGTTAATATTGATGGTGATCAATTGAAGATTTTTCCTTGAAAGGTGTATCCCTCCGACTAATCTTAAACAGTTGCTGGTGGAATGTGCTAGAGCATTTCATAGTAACGAACTAGTAGAACTTTTCAACAAATTTTGGTTGAAAAAGCCAAGTGGCTGGTCCCAGTTTTTTGCACCTGATGTTGCAAAGGAAATGCTGGATCCAAGGCCTGGTGAGGCTCTAGCTGTGAACTTTCCCCTGCAGCTCCATCATATATACCCTAGAATTGAGAGTGTTGATGTGACCAATCCAAGAGATGGGCTCCTTAGAATGGTGAAATCACTTTTGTCCCAAGGTGGAACAAGAATCCAACAAGAACACTGCCCCATTTCTCCCCAGGTTTGTTCAAACTCTAGACTGGTACGATTCGGCAATGTTTGAGTCTATATATAGATGTCACAATGCCAAGGGACAGGAAGGAGCGAATCAACGTGGAGATACATTGTTTGGCCAGAGATTTAGTGAGCATCATAGCATGTGAAGGAAAAGACGCCCACACGAGCTTTTTTGGCAAGTGGAAATCCAGGTTCACAATGGCTGGATTCCGACAATATCCTGTGAGTTCTTACGGTTAATTTTGTGATAAAACGGTTATTGAGGTGTTACTCAGAGCATCATATATACTCTGACAATGAGAGGTTGTCCTCTGAAAAAGTGGTATTAGGAATATTTAGTTTAATTGATGATGACGACAATAAAAAGGAAGATGATAAATCCGTTTGAGAATGGCTAACAAAATGGTTACCAAACTCTCTAATTATATAAATAGGTTGATGATAATCTTCTAATGAAAACTACTTGCAAAGTTTCCTACCGTTTCTTTGCTTTTCATCTCTCTTCTGCATTCTAGATGTGAGCCAATTTCCGGCGTTCTTCCAGCACGAGATCCTTAACTTTTCTCTGAGCATGTACATTATTTATATCATAGCCAAGACACTCCATTCCCCAATCATTTGCCACTTGGTTAATTGATGCTCTAATCTTCTCACCGATTGTCTCCCTTTCCTCCAAAATGTTGTCCGCACAGCTGATCTTCAGGATCTCATTTCGCACGGCCCTTTTCGCAGTTTCAACCACGGAACATATTGGATTTGCAACCCCATAGCCATAGGAAGCCAACTTAATTAGGGTCAACAACTTTGACCCGAATAACTCCATCTAGCGACATGTACGACGTATAGTTGTTCTCCCCAGTGATAACATTCCCATGGAGAGTGGGTATAGAATGGTCTTTCAAACAATATTCATACGCTATTATTTCATCTTCCCAAGGATCACATAGATGAAGCCCTTCCGTCAATGTCCTCTGATACCTCCCCGATTTCTCCACAATGTACGCTTTCATCTCCGGCACAATCTCAACCTCTTTTGGTTTCCTCATGTGCTCAATCCGAATAATCTCCGGGTCAATCTCGACAACATCATCCTTCTCCTGGAGGATGCCTCCATGCTCCACCTCCTTAACCTTCTCGACCGCCTCCAATAGTACGGATAACCCTCTTGCTGCAATAGTTGATACGTAACTTGGGTATGAATAGCTTCTTCTTTTTCATCCAACTCCGCAACCTTGAGTTCCTTTGCGGTTTCACGAATGACGTCAGCTACCGTTTTATCGAAATAATACATGGCCTTGTCACTGCCGGGTTCTTCCCTGATTCTGTCCAGTTCCATCTTTGCCGCCACGCTTTGCAAGGTTTTGCACGCGACTTCAAACACAACATCTATCGGATCCTTAATCTTGTACTCCCTCCATTTCAATTTGTAGGTCGTTTTAGGTTTGGAGAGATTTTTTTCAAAATATAGGTCGTTTTACAAATTCTAGGCAAATTAATGACTAATTTTCTAACTTTACCCTCAATAAATGATGTTAATCTATTTTCATTTAGTCTTATTTATAATTCTAATGTAATTAATGAGGGGTAAAAGAGATATTTAATACATAAATTAATTGTTGAATGATTGTCTCATTAGTTTACGTGTCAAGTCTAAAAAGACTTACATTTTGAAATGGAGGGAGTACGAGAATAACTTAGGGTCCTTGATTTCGATCATGAGCTACCGTTCCAATGAGATGGAGACATTGTCTTTAGTAATGGCTATGATTTCAGGATACATATTCTTTACACCCAAACTGTGAACATGAGCTATTTGAACTACCAACGAATTGAAAAGATGTATTCCTCGCCTGAATGTCTTGACGTATTCCCCGGAGCGTTCAATAACGTATGCTTTTTTCTTCGGCACAATTATCTGAATGCCCCAATTGGTCGGAGGAGGGTTCTTGTATCTCTCTTCGAAACCAACCCTAGGGTCACGTCCGGTGCGGAGGTGGCGGACGCTGGAGGTAGAATGACGTGGAGGATGCTGTTTGTGGAAAGATGACCGGGAACGGGATCTCAGAGTATTCATGATCATCATCATCTCTTTTTTTCTGGGCACAATGGTTTCGTATGAAATTTTTTTTTGTTAATTTTCTTCTTTGGTTTTATTGGATGCTCTTGAAACCCTAGTTGCTGCTTTCACCGCCCTCTTTTTGATCGCCCGTCGGTCCAGTTAGTTGAACATAATTATGTTAGCTCATAAGAAGAATTAAGAAAATAGAAAAACTAATAATAGGGGAGTAAATAACTGAAAAAAATCCTCCTTGACAAAAATCTTCTATAGATTTGGCCACCCAAAATCTCTAAAAAGAAATTGCTCGGGGAGATTCAAGTATTAGAAAGAAGGCTGACGACATTGTCAATACAATTTTTAGCTTCCAGAGCAAAAAGTTACTTGTTGGTCTAATTTACCGTTGTTGAGTTTTCAAGCAATTCAGCTGCGCATTATTCGCCATTGTCTTCTCTGAAGGTGGGTTCCTTCTCTCCCTTCAAATCTTACAATTAATATCAACTCAACTATCCCTGCAATTTTACGCGAAACCAACTTGATTCTTAGAACCTCTAAAGCTGCATCAGGAGAACCTATTAATTCTGACTTCTTTGCACAGAATCACTTAGATCTGGTTGATTTGGTTAAAATTCAAAATCTGAACTTCCTTGGAAAAAATGATGTCGTGTTTTTCCTTGTCTTTAGGAGAAAAACAAAGTTAGGTTTTGCCATTTAATCACAAGAATGATTCTCAAACAGTTATAATATCTTGAAATTTTTGTCAATGAACTATAGACTTCAATCCAAAATAGCCCACCTTTATCTTTATTCTTTAATCAAGACTAACAAGCCCCAATACTATATCATTTCAACTGTACGCATGACTCACCAACGACGAAGAAATCGGAAAATATTATTTTCGGCAAAAACAGAGTGAATGCCTTGGAGCAAATCACCGAGGGATCTCAATCAGTGAGGGGAAATGTGAAAATATAATTATTTTTTACTCTGAAAACTACAAATTACGCTGGAAATATCGCTAGCCTAAAAAGAAATCGCCATTCTCTTTTGCTGTCATTGTTATTAGGGTTTTGGCTATCATATGATCAACAACGACGCCATGGGGCTATCAGGAAACTTCTGGGATTTACTAACACATCTACGCCGCCAATGGGGTTGCTGTGGATCTATCGTCTTGGATTTTCCAAAATTAGATTCATTAGACTCATCTTTTTCGGTACTATTAACCTCTTCTCCAAGGTCAGTTTATTGCTTTACTCTTTGCAGTTGTACACTAGCATTGTTTTTTTTAAAAAAAAAAAAAAAAAACTTTTTTTGGTTTTGATATAATTTTTTCACAAATTTAATTTGCTCCTAAAAATGGGAAAAACGGAAAATTTGGTGTCTTTCTCTGGGGGGGCTCGTGTCTTCTTGCAGGATTATGATTTTTTTTTTTCGAATCTTAATGCTTCGGATCATTAGTTCCCTGATTTCCTTCTTTAATTTTTCTCCAGCGGATTTTATTAACTGAGGCAGCAAGCTTCTTAAGGATGTGATATGGATTACTATCTGCTTTCGCAAAGTAGTGGAGTTTGTAACTAAATCTCAAAACATTGTAATGGATGAATGTTGATTAGAGATCAACTCTTTGTGTCTTTATATGTGCTTGACTCTTTAAGAAGATTTCAAATGGGCGAATCTGATCCTTAAGATTTCAAAATTGCCCTTTCTTTTTCTTTCCCCTTATTGAATTCTTAGTAAGCATAATTTTAAATTTCCTGATCCTCATCATCGAAGAATACTCCTTTCTTCAGCCGTTCAAGTGATTCCTTTTCCAAACTCTATAAAAAATCACTACATGAGTGACACACGGAACATCCCTAAGATACCACTTTAGGAACTCATCTGTAGACAGAAAAATTACACATCTTGACATTTTACACATTTTATTATAGAATAATTCCGTGACAATGTTCAAAAACGTTGTCTTCATATCCAAGTTATTCTTAGACTCTCATCATAACTTTTTATTTTTTATTTTTATTTTTTAAAAAAAGAGAATTTAAGAGTGTTTGCATTTATTTTTCTTTTTTTTTTTTGCAAATCGATAATTATTTAACTCAATATTATCTTCCACAATATATATTGAATCTTGATTTTAAGCCAAGTGGACGAATGAGTAATGACTATGATTCTGTAATGTGTTTTCCCCCTTTAGTTTGTAGTCAGCTGGTTTTACACGTACGGTTTAAATAGTTTTTAGCAATATTCACATTGTATATATACATATCTATTTCACAAGACACTATTCATAATTAGTTACACTAGTTATCGGAGTAAAAGACTATCATAGTGTTTTCTTTGATAATATGTCACAACTTTTCGGGCAAATTTTAAGGATCAACACGCTGGATTTTTACCCTTCCCCCAAAGCCAATATGGTTTGTGTTGAGATTGAGATGTATACATTACCACATCATCAACAAATCAACATGAACTTGTTTGATTATCTTGGAATTTCATAAACTGTGGAAAAGGATTTATCAAGAAATATTTGGACCAAGATCAAGTAGACCATCCATGGAAATCCTTTATTGAAACAACGTCTTGGACTCTAGCACATCCCGAATCCAATGATATCTCATATCAATATGTTTAGATCGTGAATGGAATGTGGAATTTTTCGCTAAGTGAATAGCGCTCTGGCTATCACAATACACCACATACCTCTCTTGCTTCATGCCAAACTCTTGTAGAAACTTCTACAACCAAAGTGCTTCCTTACAAGATTCAGTAGCTGCGATAAATTCTGCCTCTATAGTAGACAAAGCAACACACTTCTGTAACCTACTCTACCATGAAACTATTCTCCCTCCATAAGTCATCAAGTATCCAGAAGTAGACTTCCGACCATCAAGGTCACCAACACGGTCTTCCCATTGCCAAAGCAAAGACTCAATCTGAAAGTACCCCTAAGATACCTGAGAATCCATTTCACAGCATTCCAATGCTCCTTACCAGGATTGGAGAGAAACCGACTAACAACACCAACTGCATGAGCTATGTCTGACCTTGTGCAAACCATCGCATACATCAGGCTGCCAACTGCTGAAGCATAAGGAACCTTTTTCATCTCTTCCTTATCTTTCTCACTTTTAGGAGACTGCATTTTGCTTAGCTTAAAATGTCCCGCCAGTGGAGTTGAGACTTCCTTACCACCGTTCATGTTAAACCTATCAAGAACTTTCTCGATATACTTCTGTTGAGATATCCAAAGCTTCCCATTCTGTCTGTCATGAGAAATCTTCATCCCAAAGATCTGTCTAGCCGAACCCAAATTGTTCATCGTAAAGGACTTATTTAAGTCCTTTTTTAACCTGGCAATCTTTGCAGTATCATGACCAACAATCAACATGTCATCGACATAAAGCAAAAGAATTATAAAATCACCATCAGAGAATTTCTTCACAAACACACAATGATCGGCGGTAGTCCTTTTGGTATCCCTGCCCTATCATGAAAGTATCAAACTTCTTGTACCACTGCCTCGGAGCTTGCTTCAACCCATACAAGCTTTTGTTGAGACGACAGCTTTTCTTTCCCCTTCTCCTGGAACCCATTTGGTTGCTCCATGTAAATCTCTTCTTCCAAATCACCATGCAAGAATGTTTTCTTCACATCAAGCTGTTCAATCTCAAGATTCAAACTGGCCGCTATCCGAAGCACAACTCGGATCAAAGACATCTTCACAATATGAGAGAATATCTCATCAAAGTCTACGCCCTTTCTCTGATTGAATCCTCTCACAACTAATCTAGCTTTGTACCTCGGTTGTGAGCTGTTCTCACTTGTCTTCAGTCTGAACACACATTTATTCTTGAGTGCTCTCTTGCCCTTAGGCAGCTTCACCAGGTCCTACGTGTTATTCTCATGCAAGGATTTGATCTCATCTTGCATGGCTGCTAACCACTGATCTTTCTGCTCATGACTAAGAACCTCTTCATACGACTCTAGTTCTCCCCCATCAGGAAGCAACAAATACTCATGAGCACTGTACCTGGTGGAAGGTTTCTTGTCTCTGGTGCACCTCCTTGGCTGAACAGGAGGTGATGAAACTGGTGGTGTCTCTGTTTCAGAAGTAGGATCATCATCAAACTCACTATTCTGCTCTGTCTCAGCTCCCGCTTCAGGAAAATCATCTGATTATGGAGGAACTAGATCTAGATCATCAGGATTCCCAGGTGAAAATTCTGGCATCTCGCCCTTTTCCATATCATCAATGGTCTGGTCTTCAAAGAAAATCACATCTCTGCTTCTGAAAACTTTCTTCTTTATAGGATCCCAAAGTCAGAATCATCATTGCCATACCCCAAGAATATACACTACTTGGATTTTCCATCAAGCTTCGACCTTTCGTCTTTGGGAATATGAACAAAGGCACGACAACCAAAAACTTGCAAATGTCTAAATGAGACATCTTTCCTTGTCCAAATTCGTTGTGGTAGATCACCATCTAACGAAACTGAGGGAGATAGGTTGATCAAATTAACTGTTGTCTGCATGGCTTCACCCCAAATAGATTTAGGCAGCTTTGCATTCAAGAGCATATACCTAACCTTTTCGGTAATAGTTCTGTTCATTCTTTCTGCCATGCCATTCTGTTGCGGAGTCTTCGGAACACTTTTCTGAAGTTTAATGCCATGGTCTCGACAATACTTCTCAAACGGACCCCTGTACTCACCACCATTATCTGCTCGAACACAATTCAACTTCTTGCCAGTCTCTCGTTCAACTCTAAGGTGAAAGTCTTTGAACACATCTAATACCTGATCTTTAGATTTTAAAGAAAAACACCAAACCTTTCGAGCATAGTCATCAATGAAAGTAACAAAGTATAATGCTCCACCCAAAGACCTATCTTTCATGTAACATACATCTGTATGAACTAACTCTAGAGGGCTGGACTTTCTAGATGGAGGAGAATTTTGAAAGGAAACCCTATGTTGTTTACCATAGATACAGTCAACACAAGGTTCTAGAGCAGTACCTTTCACCTCAGGGAGAAATTGCTTCTTACCAAGAATCTGGAGCCTCTTGACACTAATGTGTCCAAGCCTTCTGTGCCAGAGATCAATGGAAGCATTGTGAGTTGTATTCACCTCTCCATTCTTCAACTTTGCATTCAACACATATAAAGAGTTCAACTTCTTTCCTCTAACAATAACAAGATTCCCTCTAGTAATTGTCCAACGGCCACCACCGTCAGTGCTATGATAACCCTCATCATCAAGTTTTTCAACGGAAATAAGGTTCAGACGCATATCCGGAACATGTCTGACATTCTTCAAGACAAGATTACAACATGTATCCACTACCAATGATACCTCTCCCATGCCGACAACATCGCATGAGGTTTGATTGCCCATTCTTACATGACCAAAATCTCCAGGTGTAAGAGGTAAAGAAGTGTCTGTGAGGCATCACATGGTAAGACGTACCTGAATCACCGAACCAATCACTGTCGTGACTCGCAACATTAATTGTATCACAATCACAGTACACAAATACATCACTGGTAGTTACTACTGTAGTAGTGTCATCATCACTTGAATCATCCTTCTTACATTTACCTTTTCTCACTGCTAGTTCTCTCTTGAGAACCCTGCACTCCCTCTTAAAGTGCCCATTCCCTTGACAATGGTAGCACACGACATCTTTCTTGGATTTAGACCGTCCTATGGACTTGTCATTCCGATCACGTGGCCCTCTGCTTTTACTTCTCCCTCTTCTATCTGGCTTTTCTGTCACCAGAGTCTGCGACTCAGACTCAATATTCTGCTCTTTTCTTCTGACTTCTTCATTCATCAAAGCCTCTTTGACCTGATCCAAGATCAAGACACCATCCTGGGTTGAATTACTGATTGACACAACCAAAGTGTCCTAACTGTCTGGAAGAGAACTACACAATAACAAAGCCTGCACCTCATCATCCAACTTTATAGATATAATGTGCCCTTTGATGATGCTTTGAGATATGCCAAGGACTCGATGTGCTTTGGTGCATTGACAGCTAGAGAATCTGGTGGTTCCTTTATTGGTCACTCGGTTGTTCTCTCTTGTTCTATTTTTTTTTTTTTGGCGTGATAGATTAGTAGATGCATATACTTTCTTCTGACGACGAGCACATTATGCTCTTCTTTAAAAGTTTACCATGTAGGACCTAAAGGGTGGGAGAAGGTTTATGATGAAATACGAGTGGGACATCACTTTGTAGCGATGGGGTGACTGAGTAGATGCAGTGAGCATGAACTGATACAGTCACTTCCCTTAAGCTTCCCTTCTTAAGGGAATGTGATCTGGGCTTTTCAGTTGCTTTTGTGAAGTGCAGTTTGCAGTTCGATCTCAAATTATGTAGGATTGCATTTGTTAATTAGGATCAACAAGTGTTGTCTATTAAAGAGTGCCAATCCCACATCGGTGTTGGGAGACTCTGAGTATCAATATATAAGCTTCATGGGCTACTCCCCTCATAGCTAATTGGTTTTGAGGTGGAACCCCATGAGCTTCTGTGTGGTATCAGAGCCAGCCCGCCGACATTCGGACTCTAAAAAGCCCAACAAAAAAATAAAGTTGAGACATAAGGCGGTGCCTGGGCTAAAAAAAATTGGACAAGCCCAATACGTTAGACTTGTGGAGGAGTATTAAAGAGTACCAATCCCACATCGGTGTTGGGAGACTCTAAGTATCAATATAAGTTTCATAGGCTACTCCCCTCATAACCAATTAGTTTTGAGGTGGAACCCCATGGACTTCTGTATTGTCACATTATGCTCTTCTTTGCTTGCGACTCTTAGAAAATGTTACGTCGGGTTAAGTTCAATTTTGGACCAGGGCTCTTTCTCATATTGGTTTAAGAAATGGCTCAGGAAAGCTCCTGATGACTATGCTGCTACATCTATCTTCTATGCCGCTAATTATACGATGGGGCATCTGGATTCAACGAAATGATATGAGAGTTGGAACATTTATTTTTTTTTTCGGTCGCTATTGTTTGTATGCGTTTTTTTTTTTTTTTTTCTGGCTCTAATACAGGTGAGTAAGGCAGTATTCAATAAATAGTATTCCATAATGTGGATAATTTTTTTGGACAAATGAAGAATATTATTTTATCCTTTTTTTTGGTACAATAAAAATGACAAGAGCCTAAATTAAAAAATAACACAATTATCAAGTGTCATTTTGGTCCAACTACGACTCAACACCTAAGAATGAGAAATCGAAATCAGAACTCCCTTAGAAACATCGAAATTTTTTTTTTTTTTTTCCAGTTACGCCTAGAGACGTACTTTAAACAAATCTTTACAAATGGACATACAACATTCAGTAAAATATAAAACAAAAACAAAAACATGGAACATAATTATAAACTAAATCGGAACTTTAAGATGAATGCACATTGTTGTTAGCGTTGTAGCAGACACGCTCAGACCACTATGACCCTTACATTGTTCAAAGTGCATGGCCGATGATGTTGAAGATTTGCTGTGTTGAAGAGTAAAAAATTTCACGTTATAGACCGTGACTTCCGGGTAAGTAAGGCAGTATTCAATAATAAGCAGCGGGAGCATGGTAGAGGTTGCAAACCACCAAAGGGCTGAGAGTATTCAAATCAAGTCAGCAGCCTGAAGTCATACTCCTTTCGTCCGAAATTATTATCTAATTTTAAATTTTATTTTGAGTACAATTTGTACTAATAATAAAACTTCAAACTAAACAATAATTTTAGAACGGAGAAAGTATTTGTATCACCATCACCCACTCCGTAGCTACATCCACGGAAAATAATTTCTTTTTGGTGGGAAGGGGGGTTTTTAATGGATGGAAGGCTAAACTTTAGTTTACACGATTACGAGTACACCCTGATTCTATAATACATGGTCTAACTCTATTTGGGGGCAATTTAATTTGAGATTCAGATGCAAACCATCCTCATCCCTCTCAATCATCAGCATACTCTTGTTTGATTATCTTGGAATTTTTGTCTTCTTATGCGGCCGTCATTTCATGTACATCAGAAAATGATTTACCAGGACATATTTGGATCAAGTCATCTGTAATACTCTCCGTTGGAGGATTTTTAGTACTTTGTTAGCATTAGTGATTTTGAATTCTTTCCTCTTCGGAGAAAACTTAACAGCCGTGTAAAACGGTTTAATTTGATTAAAGTACATTTGAAATAGTAATAGTTTCTCCTTTTTTTCTTTTTTTTTTTTTTAACAGTACTCCTTGTATCTCAAAATTATTGTCCAGTTCGAACTTGCACTTTTAACACAATAAGTATAAGTTCAAGTTGGACTATCATTCAAGATGGAAGTACTTTCCTTGCTAAAGTTGCCAGGAGAGAATTTTTTATCTTAACGATTGGTCATGTTTTCAGTTTACTCCTCAGAAAGAGGCGTTTGGTAGGAGGAAATGAGAAGCATCGAATTTGAAAGAATTTTTACAAACCACCCAGAAAACGATCTCATCGGATGATATTATATGCAACAATGAGCTTCCACCGCGTGAAATGTTTACCTTTACTGATTGAACAGCTTCAACAGGGGTTGGCCGAATCTATCTCATAGAAAACTTGACAAAATCACCTAATAAACTGCTTGCAACACACTTCGACATGCGATTGTTCCCATGAGATGTTACAAGGAGTCGAAAAGTCGATACTTTCTTATCAGTACATAATCAAAATTTTGACTATCTTGATGAACAGCCTATTTGCACAACTGCAGCTACATCCATCGACCATCATGAGGAAACCCAGTTTTAGACCGTTTACTAACTATTTGGTTTACAACATGCCCAGTACCTAAGTAGACAGGAGCCAAAGAAAAACACATGCTGATATTGATCCTAATGCATAGTCGTCCGTCTCTTGCTTCCACCTTCATGCTCGACCTAGGGAAAAAAACATATGCATCATGTTATGACACAAAAAATTGCCTCTGAAATTGCATCACATGGAAAAGGAGAAACGCGGGAACATGCGTCTTCCTAGATGTCTAACCTCAACAAGAACTTTGGCTTTCTTCTTTGACTTGGATCCAGGTTCGTCTTTCCCAAGCTTCCCATGAGACAAGCCAGAATCCCTCCCCTTTCTCTTATGGGATGCTGGATGGTATTCTTCTTCATCATCAGTTCCAACTGCATTCATAATCATCACAGTCAGAATAAAAATTTCCCATCCAGTTTTGTAATTTCAACTAGCTTGAGAAAAGCTTTGTATCACCATTTCCAGTCAACATATACAATCCAGACAATGAAAATTTGCTGCTTATGTCTATTTACAAACTTAAGGTCATCCAGTAACTGTTGATAAGCATAGACTTCAAGCAAAAACATGCAACAAAAGTCACATACAGGAAGAAGGAAAAAGAATTAATTTCAACCTAAATGAGAATAACATCACAAGAAACTTGTAGCAGGTTTACCAGTATCATCGTCCTTGCCAGATTGAAGGTCACCAAAGTCTTCTATATCATAGTCCTCTTCAAGTAGATCATCGCCTTCAACAAACTCTATCTCAGCTTCCTCCTAGTAACGGAATGAAATTAGTTTGGACAAAAATAAAAACCCAAAAACCCCAATCAATGGAAAAAGCCACTGAAGGAACGAATATGAGCCCTTGCAATTTCAGACCTCTTCTTCTTCTTCTTCTTTTTCTTTTTCTTCCAAACCTTGCAGAACTTTATCGAACAATTTGAAATCATCATTGTAAATACCCGAAGGATCATAGACTCCACGCTTGAGACGCTCAGTTAATTCGTTTTCAATACCCTGCAAATAATCATTACATGAGTAACACAGGAGGAATCATTGACGCCACTTTAAAATCTTTCTTTTTGTGGGATTTTTTTTTTTTTTTGGGGGTGGGGGGAATTGGTAAGGAAAACCAATATAGAGAAACTCAACACTTGAAAGACGGTAAATTATATATCATGACTCTTTATACAGACCTTTTCCAAAACAGCGGCTCTTAAAGCCTTTTCTTCCCTTCGAGCCTCTCTCTTTGTCTCTTTTCTAGGCACTGGTATTAGCTTTTCCCTGTAAACAGATACATAAAGGAAACAACTTAAACCTTAGATGCACATACCTATGTAAAGACAGGAAAAGGGCATATGACAATAACAGATAAATGCTTGGCTAGCTTGGGTCAGAATTTCAGGTCAAACTTCAAGGTAATCAGGCTAACAACTAGAAGGACCCGCTGGAAAAACATTTTGCAGCAACAAGGCGAAAATTAACACCCTTGTATACGGCCCTTCTGGGATTGGTCTCAATCTAATATAACATAGAACAATCCTTTCACGACAATGTTACCAAACTCACTCACATATACAAGTGCATCACAACTTTTTCATCACAAGGCAAAAACCGAACAGTCTGAACAGCTTTGAGTAAATTTTATGTTTTTGTTAAGAGAATATTTACTTCATTCATTGTTATCAGCAACGACAGATCTTTCTTTTCAACACCCACAAGCTTGTTAGCCAGCAAACTTTACACAGGGACCAAATAGTTTAGTAGAATTTTCAATGTACAGAGACAAAGCAGCAATGCAAGCTAGAGAATTGGTCGAATGACAAAAAAGAAACAGAAAGATGCATTTGTAGGTAGAGATCGTAACCTTGTTTTCAAAGCAATCTTCCTCATGCGTATGCGCATCTGAGTCATCTTTGTTAATCGTTGTTTTATTTTATGAATAAGTAACTTTGGCCAATAAATCTGTCAGAGACAAAGAGAGAGAACTACGGAGTTTAGATAAGCAAATAATTGTAACTTAACTGAAAATAACTGGTCATAGTCCAATATATTTATGTTACCATATGTTTGTCAATGACTTCCAGGGCTTTCTCATAATTCCGGGGCAGTTTAACTCTTTCCCACAATTTGTTAGGCATATGAGCCCTTTCTATTGTTTTCATGTATAAATAGAACACTCCTGCAGAACCGAAGGTCACGAGATGGACGTTTAGACATCTAACTAAAGAACCACATTGCGGTCACTATCATCAACATTAAGAGGCTCCACAAAAGGTCTAGTTCACAATGTCAAATCTTCATCAATAGATAGAAGTATCACTTAGTAAGGATTAAAATAGGCTACATCGCACTGTAGAAGACTAAAATACATCAATTTGAAGTTTGGACATGCGTACTAAAACACACTAGCCTTCATCTGCATGGATCATACAGTTTTCTCTTGCACAAAGCTAGTCCAAAGTTGATCAAAATAAGTAATGCAAAGCCCTTTACAGTTTCTCAGTCCTCTAGGACAAGGAAACAAACAAACAGCGGAAAACCTACACATTTTTCTCATATACAACCTGAAAATTAAAAATCCATGGCCTCTGGCAAACTTTGCTCAGAGTTGATCTTATCCGCCCTTATTGCAGTATTATAATAACCCAATCCTGTTATCACATTTACACAATAAAGTCCCAACCCAAAATTTGGCGAAGCATAACATAAACCTAACATTCCATAACTCTCAACTGTATACCATCTCACATTGGAACATTGAAAGGACTAGCACTTAAAAATTGTCCATGTAAGAGAAATGGCCACTAACAAGGCAAACAAAATGAAGATTTGTACCCAATAAAGATCCAGAAGAAAATGCATAAGCTTCCAAAATAAAGCTTTCCTAGAGCTATATAACATGAGTAGTTACTCATCCATTTCCTCGAGCTCTAAAACAATAACAAAAGGCAATTCATTCCAAAATAAGCAAAGCCCATTACAGAAGAGAGTTGAAAATTCAAAATAAACAGCCGAGAGAAAATGGATTACCCTTATCTTCACGGATGGTGGCGTAACGACTATTAGCTAGAGGGCAGGAGCTCCGATTACAAAGACCAGTCACGTTATACGGGTTGCGGCAAAAAATCTTTGTTTCAATTCTACATCAAACAATTAAAACTGACTAGATTAAAACTGGTAAACGTAAAAACATCTTCATCGATTAGATATTGAGAAGCCATTAAAAAGGGGAAAAAAGTTAGGAAGCTTACTTCGACATATAACTGCAGTGATTGTGTCTAATGACTTGCCATATAACCTCATCATGCTGCATTTTGCTTCGGTTTGATCTTCAATTGATGATTTTGAGTAGTTTCTGGGATTTCCAGCGAGTGATGAGAAGAAAGGGGACCAAAATTAGGGTTCAGGGTTTAAGCCTTTAAGGAACACGGTGTTACGGTGTGATTCGGGTAGGGCGGTGATGGACAGGTCAACCCGGGTTTAGTTATTCTCATTGGTCCCTCGTTTGTAGACAAATTGTTTACTGACCACTCCCTATACTTATGTAAGCTATCAAAATCCCCCATAGTTCTTGAAATCACAGAAGGATCCTCCCTATTTTCAAAAAACAGAAGGACCCTCCTTCTTCACCCCTTTCTCAAGTACACAAATTAGATTAAATATTCAAAAAAAAAAAAAAATCCCTTGTGATTGTTAAAAAGTTATTTTCTATCGTTTCTCACGAGAAAATGGAAGGGAAAAAAAAAAGTTAATTCATCACCCCTAAAATGTTAAAATTTTCAATCATAAATTCAGATTTTTTTTATCACAACCTTAACATGTGGAAATGCTCATTGATTGACACCGAATTAGTACTAATTTGATTTCCTTTAATCTTTGAACGAAAAGATCAAGAGAGAAAATGCTCAAAACCTTGGATGGCCGTGTCATGATCAGTTTTATTCATGGAATGTACACTTTTTTCATTATATTTTACACTGTATCTTTGATGATGGTCATATATTAACGATCAATTGAATATTAATTTTACGACGAAAAGAATATATTTTTACAATTAAATTAATGCATCCCAAGAGGAACATCAAATCATACTTTTTCTTTTTGTCAATTCCTAATCTTTTCTCTTTTTTGTATGTTTATAAGTGTATTTTTCTATACATTGGGAACAAATCGATCACCTGATCTCATCTTCATCGGATAAGAGAATTGCCTTTCAGCCAAAAAAAGATATAAAAAACAATACGGGTTCTTTTTATCCTTAATTGGTTCTCTGATGTAATGGCCAACTAACTGAGTTGCCCTCTCTTATCTAGCAAAATTCGGTTTAATAGTTTTTTCCTTTTAGCATACGTTATTGTCTTCAAATTAATTTGTGGCTATACATATAACGACCCCATACACTTTTTTATTATTACTAATCATTAAAAGTATTTCTTTATCACGTAGTATACGCAATTTAAGGTCACTGTCTACAATGGTCACTTGTTGATAATCATACTGAAAGTATAAGTATATCCAAATCCCTTATTTAAATATTCGATACTACGATAATACTAAGTACCAATTGGCGTTTGTCAAACGTAGCTAGCTATTCCTATGATTCAAGGTATTATAATATTGCATTGTTTGTTTTTCGATAACGATGGATGATTTTGTAATTTAAATTAAACAATTATTTTAAGACAATAAAAATATTATCTCATATTAGAATGGTGGGAAAGAAGGCGTGAATTCTGATTTTTTAACTTTGGAGCAAAAGAGTAGTTTATGTTGAATAGTTGACGATGATCCGTGTTAAGGGGGGATTTGACTGTCTTTTACTTCAAGATGAGAAAGATGAGAAGAAGATTAAGAACGAGATTAATTAAGATCATTGAACCCAATACTAGCTAGAGAGACAAAGGTGACCAAGAGGACTTCTCTTTTTGGTGGGTCAAAAGATTAATTAATGAAACTAGGGCCAAAATTCGTCATGTGATTTTGATAGGCTTATAGGGCTGCGAAATAAAATAAGACTGTTTAGCAACGAAAAGGGTGATCTTATCATATGATGAGACCCGAATTTTCTATTTGCAGCTTTGAGTCCCACTTGTCCAGGAAAGGATGGATGTTGAGAGCTTGATTAAAATGTTGTGAACTTTTTTTCCCCACACATTTCTTTTGAATTGAATACATTTATGCAACTTAATTACTACTGAAAATATTGAAATAATCAAGTAATTTTGGTTTGATGTTCCTATAGAACCCATACCGATAAAATCTTACTTGACAATGAGTAACTAATTATGGTCTTTGCTTGTGATTTAAGTAATCACGCATGCACAAGAAGGGTCACTTAAGTTTCTAATGATTCGCTATTTTGATTATTCAACTATATTTCATTTCTAATGCATACATTTTTCTTAGATACTACTCCCTTTGCTCCTTATTATAAGGCATTTTGATTTCGTCCAAGGTTTAACCTATGATGTCTTTTTAATTTGAAAAAAAAAATTAAAGATATATTTTCACATTCGTTGTATTCTTCTAAATATTATGAAATGTTTTTAAGGTTTTTATTTCAATTAAAAAGACATCCTAGGTGAAACCTAAGACAAAATCAAGATGTCTTATAACAAGGACCGAAGGGAGTAATTTAGTTACGACTTATAAATTGTCATTTCTTAAATCAACTAGTACAATTTGAAATGCAATTCTGTTTTCCTTTGAAAGCAAAAAATAAAAAATAAAAAAAAAATGTTGAAATGAAATGGAATAAAATTTCGTCTGTATCGATTCATCCTCAGAATGCAATCTGACCAGGCCAAACATGCACCACGTCATTTTTTTGGATTGATGCATGTACTGAAGAAGGAGGATGTGATTGCAATTAAAAGTTGAATTCCGATCGAGACTTCATTTTTAATCGGAAAAATAAATTGCTAAAAAAAAATTCGGGTAGTGTATACAGCAACATGACCTTATACCAATTTTTCAGATTATGTTCCTTATCCAAATTTGCTACATTTCATATATACCCGATCGGACAATGCATGAACTTGAACCATGAATGGTGGATTGGTGATGGCAAAGCAGGTCAATCACACTATATAGTAAATTGATGCAGACAACCTTACATCCCCAACACTCCATTATATTGCCACTAATAGAACGACATTGAGTGGAAGTAAGGTCACATATTTATAGGGTGTGAATCATCCTTCTCGCTCAATAATAATTATTTTAATAAGTAAAAAAATATGTACTTGGCATATTTTCTCAATCTTTATTTTTATTTAAAATATACTTCATCTGTTCCAAAATTATTGTCTAGTTTGAGTTTTTACTTTTAGTACAATTTGAACTAAAAATGAAAATCTAAACTGGACAGTAATTTCGGGACAGAGGGAGTACCTACCAAAATAGTCGGCCCTCCCAATTTAACAAATAATTGTTAGGAACAATTGCATCTAAACTAAATATTTTTAGTGTCTTATATTTGTACAATTATGCTATTTGATAAAACGAGTCAGCGGTCGATAACATTCACACGCGAAGAGGAAGAATGAGATTAGAAAACTTAATGTGATTTTTTTTTTTTTGACAGAAGTGATATTATTGTCATTATTATTATTATTATTCAATTGTAACTTTAGAAAAAAAAAGGTTCGCATTTTTTTTTTAAACCCTCACTAGCTGAAGTCGTATATTAAGTGTGATCCATTTGAATTAGAGATAACCTCCATAAATCACACTTTTATAACATGCAAATCTAAAGTTGTTTGTTTTCGCATGTAAAGGGCTAAAATTCCAATTATTAAGATGTGGAGGATAATTTTGGTGACAATTATAATACTTCTTCTTATAACTATTTTTAGGGTAAGTTTTGATTTATCTTCCAAGTGACGAAAAAGATCAGGCAAAGGTGGGGTAGGATAACCTTAAACCACTTTCTCTTTATCTTCAACAATTGATTCCCCCTCTTTATATCTCCTAGTCCCAATTTTTATTTTTATTTTTTTGCATAAATTACATTAATAAAAAAAAAAAGAATTCTTCATCGCCACCATATCTCATCATCTACAACACTTTTGTTTGATCCATTAAAATGAATGCTACTTGAGTGGACTCCCTTCCTTTTACACCCCCCAAAAAATATGGTTTCGTGATTCGCCTTCCTCCACATCCTTCTTTTTTTTTATTTGTTTAATTTGAGGGGAAAATAACAAGTCTATCTCGTTTTATTATTTATTTTTATGAAAATTATTTTCTTAAATAATTGGTCCATTTCTCCCACCAGCTGTCTCTGAGCCCACTAGCATAATTCTCAATGTTTCCACGTCCAATTTGCTTCGGAATTCAGCCTCATCTTTTCTTTTTGAGTTTTTTCTGTTTACTTTTTTTCTTTTTTCCTAGGTCATACCTTTCTTTTTGTTCGTATAATCGTATAGCATAGTATAACTATAATACGTAAAACATATATACTCTATTTTCTGTGGTATTTTTAAAAATATTTTTTAATTAGTAATTCTTCCCAGATCTTCTTGGGCTCCATAGCTGCCTGACACAGGTAATGAGAACATGACCTGCAAAACAATTTAATTTCCAGAAGATCAATTTAAACTCAATTTCACTTCTTTCCCTTTCAGGAAAGACAACAAAAACAGCATTTAACACTGAAAGACAACTTTAAGGCAAAAGAAAAATCACGAATTTTTTCATACTGGTTTACGAAAAAGAGGAAAAGCAAACAAAAAAAAAAATAAAAATCCCACCTTTGATCATACTTGTTGCTTCCCGTCTTGATTCGTCTCAATTCTTAACAAGTAAACCTGCAAGCAGTAAAGATCCAAACTTTTACTATCAAAATTCCTAACTCAAGAGATTAAAATAATCATTGTTTTCTCTTCCTTCAAATTGAGGCCAAAATGGAAGTACTTAGGAACTCTGGCTGCTGGTAGCCTGGTATGGGAATGGAACTTCATCAAATTTCTTCTTCCACCTGCAACAGAAAAGACCAACCCAAAAAATCAGATCAGCTGTGAAATCAATGCATCAATGTTAACATCAAACAAACAGAATATGGATTTGTATAACTTTTGCTCCAAAAAGGGACAAAAACTGGAAAGCCTGAAAAGACAATGATAATGAACTAACGCGTTACACTGAACATATATTCCCGGAAAACACAGTTTAGGGGGGGTAAACACACAGTACACGCAATATCACACAGTTGAAGAAGAATCAACGGCCGGAATCAACGCCAAGAAATGATCATGCAATTAGGCTATATATGTATATCTATGGTGTCCATTAATATATGCTGGGAAGAATGGCCTAATGAACGAATAAGGAATATATGTGTCAAATGGCACTCACCAATCCCATTTGGTGGATAATTGATGCAATCCCGGAACAAAAATTGGAGGTAGTACTAATAAATGTATATACACAATCCATGGATTGGCATTCTAAAGGAATCATAAAAAAAAAAAAACAATCCCCTTCTGCAAGATGGATCTCATATACAGTTGCTTCTTACTTCTTACAAAAAAAAACAATTATCAATTTATATGTCTTCTTTTCGCTTGGCAAACCAAAGCTTTTCGCCATCTTTGTTTTCTTCAACATAGGATTTGTATCACCTATTTAAAACGAGTTTCTTTAGGCTGGCTTCAAAAAGAAAAAAAAAAACTTTTAGAGTCCTTTGTGCAATATACAGAGGGCCCCTGTTATTGCCAGTGGTTGCCATGGTGAATGAGATATATAGGGCTGCTAACTTTTCCGGCAGGGCCGTAATGAGGAAGCCCTTTTGCAGTAGATGATGGACCATACTGACAAGGATATCCCATTACTGCAACCGGCCTAGACGTGATTTGGTTTTGATGGACGCATTTTGGCCCTTTGGGTGGCTTGGTACTCATACAAGAGGACGATGATTTCGGGTAAATGATTGTAGGAGTTGAATCACTGGTGCTAGAAGAAGAAGAAGATGATGATGCAAGGGAGGAAGTGGGCGAAAGCTTCGATTTTGGGGTGGAAAGAAAGGCTCGGACTTTGAGAGAAGAAGAGCTGGTGGTTGGGGGAGAGGCTAAAGCTGCTCGATCATATTCCTCAATGAGATTAGCAAGATCTTCATCGGAGGTGATCGACACTAAGGCATCCATGTCTTCCGTCGGCAATTGACATCTCAGGCTCACTGTTAACGTTCCACACATCTCCCCTAGCTTCCTCACCAACTCTGTTATTCAATTCATGCATAAAATTTTAAAAATTCAATTCATAACCCCAATCAACATATCAATAGAAAGTAATGAGAAAGATGGATGAGGAGTAATGAATTACCAGAGAAAGAGATGGAACGGTGGACGGCGAGGACACGGGTTTGGCCGCCATGGTAACGGAGTTTGCCATCAGGGTAACGGGGAAGAATCTTGCCACCATAGCTGCAAAGAAACTTGAGGGTGGAGGAAGAAGTACTGGATTTGAGGGTCAAACTATTGTATGAACTGATCATGGAAGGGCCAACCATTTCTCCTATAATAATTGGGTGGGTGGCTGCTAAATGCTAAATGGGTCCAATCCAGGTGAGATCAAAAAAGATATGTTTCTCGTGAAGATTGATGATGAAGTAGTTTAGTATATACTAAACAAGATACTAAAAATTTAGTAGTTGCCAAGGAAGTTGGAAGAGAGGTGTGGGAAGAGGAGAAAAGATGCTCTCTGGATTGGTCTCTCTTCAAGCCTATCCAAGGTATCCTCTGAGCATTATTTATAAGGGAGTTTTTGGGTGAAGGCTTTGGGGTTTTTTGGGGGCTGAATGATGTCAATGGGGGGACCAAATTTAGGGATAGAAAGATGGAAAGTTTGAACGAATCCTCCCCAGTCCCCAGCCCCCCTTTAGCAGCTCGGGTCATCATTCTCTCTTGCAGATTCCCATTCTTGTGGACCTTGACATGGTAAAATTTGGCAGAGGAATAATATATCAACGGGAATCAGCATAAATTTGCTCACCACTGAAACCTTTTATTAATTTGGTCTTTCATTTTTCTCCCTGGAGATTGGTGGAGTATTAATGGACAACTTTTACTACCTCCTAAAAGCTATGTTTTGAAAATTGGACCGCAAGGTGAACCGGCAATTTAAGTGGTTAAGTGGTTATTAGCTCAACCGGTTTAAATCGATTTTTAAACCGATAAAAATCGATTATAAAAATTATTAAAAAGATAATTACTTTTCAAAATTTTGATTTAATCGGTATCAATTTCCGGTCAAATTGCGATTTTACTTCGAATTTGACAGAATTTGATCAATTTTGAATTCTACCGATTATTAATCCAAATTGGACCGGAAAGACTTCCGATTTCCGGTCGAACCGATTCGACCGTCCGATTCAGACCGGTTTTCAAAACACAGCCCAAAAGAATACTCTCCCAACACAAATTCGAATCCTGAATTAGTCAGTACAAAGACTTTAAACTCTAAATTCAAGGAGAAAAAAAACTAGAGTGGTCTTTTTCATTTTAGATTGATGCCATTTGAATCTGTAAGTTATTGTTGTAGCCTGGTGAACTGCTTCTGTTAACCATTCGTTGTTTTGACCAGTTTTCCATGGCTATTCTACTACTTGCGCTTAAATAGACTGCAACCATGTGTAAGCTCTTCTTTTTTAAAAACTTTTTTTTCAGCAATTCCTTACACGATTATTGGTCCGAGTAAATAACTACAATTCATCTTCTTCAAAATGTTTCGGATCAGTCATCCATTAAATGGAAATGGAATTCTTCTGTGTGAAATTTAGAGCATCTAAAATGCACATCATTGTACGATTTCAAGGACGAACTTTTGTCAAAGATCTTGCCAAATTTAGGAACTCTGATTCATGAGGCGGCGCAACTCTCGTAACGGTCTGAAATGAACGAAATGGAGAATCTCCATATTTATTCATTTATTGGACGGAGTTACCTACTTTGGCTATAAAGAAAGAATGTTCAGCATGATTTAGATCGAAAATCCTGATTTCGGTTCAACCACCAGTTTTGTATTTTTTCAGGTTGTCAAAACTGAAAATTGAATTGAACAATTTGTAAAGAAAGATGAACCAAGAAGAGGGTTTAGAAATGAAAGTTAACGGGTCATGTGGACAGTTTACTACTTCTTCGCTTAATTAAGTTCATAACATGTTTTTTTCCAAGGTTTGGAAAAGTATAAGAAAACCCCGGCTTTGACATTAAATTTAACACCACTACATCAATACAACTCTTGTCTTTGAAGTAAAGCATCTACTATTCGGTCCTACTATATTGATAGGAGAAAAAGGTTGCATTGCTGCAAAGTGGTATATCCTTAGAATCAAGAAGATATTGTGGTCATATTCTTGCTTCTTTTCTTTTTTTGTTGCAAATTTTTTTTGGGTTTAATTTTGGTTGATGTTTCAACCTCCACCATTTCACACGTTAGATTTGCCTTAATTGTGGAGTAGGAAAAGAAGGGATTTTTGATGGTCCATAGGGTTGAAGGAAGGCAATTTTGTCTGCAATCGGATCGGACTGAGATGCTTTGGTTCCTTCAAGATTGCTAGGCTGACATCTGCGAGGATATAATTGGATTTCTGTTAACTTTCAGTGGCAGATTCGTCCACTTTGTTTTGCAGCGTATATATTATTGATAATTTTCTTTCCAATTTTTCCTTTTTTTTTAAAAAAAATAAAATTGTGAATGGTCCTGGTGCTTCTGTTCAATACCATTAAGAAATGTTGAAATTCCATGAAATAAATATTTTGGATATTCTAATTAGAAAAGCGATTGATAGTATTTAAAAAACTTATTAAAATTGACCAAGTTGCCTCGAAAAACTTCAATCCACCACAATATTGTCATGCAATTTCATCTTGTTATCACAGTTCATCACTTCATTGTCACAAAAACGCACCCCATAAATATATATATTTTCCGTAATCATTGTCTACCAAATAAAATTGGTTAAGTCAAAAAAAAAACAAAAAATAAAAAGAAAAATCAACAACTTCAATTTGTCTTAGTCTTTGCCCCTCCCAGATTCCCAATGGGTTCCACTCCACCATTGCCATTTTCACATTTTTAGTGTCTCCTACGTTAGATAATTACCCTTCGTGTACAGATTATAATTTGTTTTTGTATTTTTTTTTCAAGGACATTATAGCATCATTGATACGTTTTGGATAAATCTCTACTCTTTTTATTATCAGGGAAAAGTACAGTCCGTTTCCTGTTTAAATAGATATTTGATGGAGCCCCTTTATCTTTATCCTTGTCAACAGTGAACCATTTGACGTTGATAAGGTTTTTGCTGATAAATGAGGTATCTTTAATCTTTTTTTTCTTTTTCTTTTTTTTTTGTCGGTTTTGAACCACAACTGCATGCATGGTTATAATAATTTGTATTTCTTTCGTTCTTAATTCCAATTTTGTTATTATTAGACTCTTAGTTCCTCGTATAAGCAAAATAAATAATTATAACTCTTATGAATTTCATTGTTCTAAAAGAAATTCATTCAACAAAATGGTTTTTTTTTTTTTTTTAAGTTCTATCCAGTATTTACAAGTTTAGAAGAGATCACATAGCTAATTCTTGTATTCTTTTAAATTTCTTCTTGTCCATTTTTGGTCATTTCGATTGTGTTAACTATTGAATAACTCAATCCACAACATGTCAAACTGGATTCGAACCTTGAATCTTTCACATATAGTTACTGATGACAGATTCACCAGTAATAGGCTGACCAAATTACTTACTATTTGGAACTTAAAAGTATACGTGATTAGGATGCAACTGTGTTACTTTTATTTAATCATTAATGTAAATCTTCATTTCAGAAAAACAAAACCCCTTAAAAAAAAAGACTGCAATGACTCACCAAACTGGATAATACGTGATTAACAAAGCGATTCAGTACATATCTTATACGTGTGCAATGCATAAAATCTTTTAATAGGCTAATGCGCAAAAATAATCAATGTTGTAATTTGTACTGTTTTTAGTATAATTTATACTACAATATAAATTATTTTTTATGGAGAAAAGAGGCTAAGATATAATATTTGGAAGGTATGTATTTGCAATTTTTTTTCCCTAAGAATATATTACATTTTGAAAAAATGTCTGGCTTAGAAATCGTACCTCGAAAAATATGCAATATAAAAATTCTGATCGCAGACATAAAACAATAAAACGGGAAGCCTGGGAACTGAATTTGTTTGCAATCCACTGACACGTACTTGCTAGGTCACATATTTTAATTTTAAGGCACAGAATTTGAGCAATTATTTTATCCCTATTATTATTTGAAAAAAAAAATTGATTGGTGAGGTATGATGTGGGCAACACAATGCAAACTCCACATTCAATCATCAAACTAATTTCCACACTGCCCATACACCCAAAATTAATAGGATACACTGCCACCATGCCTGTTGCATTCTTTGAATTTTCATGTATCCCAAAAAAATGTTCCCACAACAAAGGGATATTCTCTGATCTTCATCATGAAGTTCCCCATGATTGTTGTTTTATTTTCACCAATTAGCAACTGTAAGAAATAGTAACAACAGTAAAAGTAATTACAGCAGTAAATGTGATTTTAGGGGATAGCGTATTCTCAAAAACTTTCATGAATATCACTCTCAAGCAAAACTTAATTCATTACAATCGGTGATCGATTTGGTTTAAATTATTTCCTACGTACCGGCAAACGTTGATCAATATTAACGATGACGATCAAATGACAAATTGACAACTTTCACACCTTGCTGTTACAAGATCTCAAAACCGCTTGCTTTTCGTAAACCTTTATTATTAAAATACTTACCATTTCCCCCCTCCTAATACATAGTGTTTCAACATCTCTCTTTTTATTTATTTAAATGTTACACGTTAAAATGAAGGTTTGGGGGTAACGAAAGAGTTAGGGTGAGTTTGGGAAATAAATTAAATCTAAATGGGGGTGATTATAATATATATATATATATATATATATATATATATTATGGGTTTTGGGGTCATTTCATCAGTTTTGGCAGTTCTCATTAGCGTGATTTAATCTTAGTTCCCCTAGTCAAGGGGGTTTTAGCAATTTCTAGAACTAACTATAGGGATCTCTTTGTATTTTAATCAAATCTTGATGGTTTGTTATGTAATTCGCCCAAGAATACTATAAGAAAGTGGCAGTGTTACTGGGGAGGAATTTGGCGCGCCTGAAAGTTTCTCAATATGAACAGCGAAAACGTAGGATTAAGCGAAAATTCAAAATTCCACTTTCTAATATAGCCTTGTTTCGCTGTTCAGATCGGTTTCCTTGTCTAATTCTACGCATATTTTCTTAGCCGAGGCGGTACTTAATCACGCATGCCGTCAATTTGAATTAGCTTTCAAAGGAGGAGTTATGGTAGCTGTTGATCATCCATGTGCTAGCAGACCAAGTGAGTTGTTTTACTTTGATTTATGTATGTCTCTTTTCTCTAGATTTATTTCTTGAAGTAACTAATTAACTGGCCACTTCACATTGTCACCATCAGAGCCGTTACCCAAGAATGTTTTCGTACTCAATGATCATGCTCTTTGCATCGTTGCTGGAGATCTTAATGATCAAACACTTGCCACCATTTCTGAAGCTATTCAACACTACAAAGTTTTGATTGCAGACTTCCGCAAGGTTCCTTTTTGTCAATCTCTTTTAATCAGTCTTTATAATTTATGTTACAGATTATATTGTATTCTGTATCATGTGTGTCTTTTCTTGAATTGTCAGCTCCAATCTAAGAAATATTGTCTGTTCTTGAAGGACAGTATTTCAGTTGAAGTGGAATCACGAATGTTGTTCGACACTCTCGAATCTGGCTACGATGAAGGGTTTGGCAGGCGTAATGGTTGCAGGGTGGGATGCAATGGTATTGTAACTATTCTTTCTTTTGGGATTAGCTGTTATGATTTTAATGTAACCCTTCTACTATTACCGTTGGCTTGTCTTTGTTTAGGGTCCTTGGTTGTATGGCATGAATGGTGAGCTGAGACCTATAGAACTGCAAGAAAGAAGTATATTGAGCATTGGGTCTGGATCAGAATATGCTTTTGGTTTTGGCGTCATCGGGTATTCGTCCTTTTCCTTGTTCTTGTGTAGTATGCGATACAACTACTTAGTTCTTTTTTGACTGTTTTGGGCTTTCTGATTTTTCTTTGTTTGTGTAGGTACCGTTACTATAGGTCCTTCGATGAAGCTAGAGATTTGGCCGCAGATGCGATTTCCAATGCTGCATTAGCAGTTAGTGAAGATGGTGAAACTGGTGGTTTCTTCAGCGGTACGTCTGTTTTTGTCCCGTCTGTTTTCTCAAGTGCTTGTTTCAACCTGAAGATTGATAGGTCCGTCTATTTTGCTTCTGACAACGAGTTCATTGCTTTCTCTGTTTAAAAGTGTATCATATAGGACCTGATAGGTGGAGCATCAAATACGAAGAAGCAAGTGCAGTAAACTTCTTGCAGAAGACTTCTTCTGCTCCAAAGTCGTTTACTTACAAGTCCACCGGATCATCTTGCTACTCAATAGCATCTTTTGAAGCCGTGTGATTCATGAAACGAAATGATGCAGTAAATTTTTTAGGACATGGATATGTAAATTTGATATCGAATATGGTAGTTGACTATTCCTAGGTGTTGTCTCTGTTTTGTGATGACTCTTTATAATACAAATAGAAATACTTGTTGGGAGAGCTTTACTTACCGAAAGGGACCTACTGGCTCGAAATCTGGATTAGTCGGAGCAATAACTTTGGACACCGGGTGCGTAATATACAAAAAAGAAAATCTTTTGATTTTCATAATTTTGTAGGCAGATGTTATCAAAATTAAAGTCAATAGTTTTCCGTTCTTCCAGTCCATTCATTAACTATAAACTTTAAAATGAAGGTGTGCGGAGTAATGCCAAAATATCATCCTGGAGATGGAGTTTCGGCGTCAAGGGAGTTTTGAAGTTTTAACGAACCATAGAGTTCTATTTGCAATTTCTCCGAAGCCGAGGGCTTAAATATAAAAAAAGATGCGATGTTGGTCCCTCTTTTGAGTTTTGGCGCGGAAGAGAACTTCTTTAGACTCTAGAAAACCCCAAATGTGAAAAGCAGCAAAAAGAAACTCAGATCAAATTCAAATGCCCATTTGTTCATCGATTTAGGGCTTATTTTGCTGTTCCGTTCTGTATCCTAATCGAATTTTAAGTATGTTTAGGAGATAATTAAAGCGCTCGATCTGAATTTTGAATTAGGGTTAAAGAACTTGTATCGATTAAATTTACCTGAAGACGAAGGCGATGGAGATAATTTCAGTCCACCTGATCAAAGGCCCTGTTTTCCCGGCTCTGAGGTCAGTTACGATTGGGTTAGTTTCTTTCTTATTCCAAAATAAGGTTTCTCCTTTCTTTTATTGTTTTTATTGTTTTTATTCTTTATGGTTTTTCGTTTACTTTTTCCTATTTTTGAATTGTGTGGTTGTACATTTGTAGTTTGATCTCCCTGGAGGGTTATTTGGTTTTCAAAATGGGTCTGAAGGTTAGAGATTGGCTCAAGAGTGGCTGAAGCAGGTAAAATCCCTATTGAACTTATTGAATTCCCTTCTTCAAACTACAACTTGTTTTTGCTGTTTCATTTCCTTGTTGATTCCACATTTATATTCTTAATTGAGGAGGTCTTAGTGCCTGTGGGAATTGTGGATAATGATATATGTTAGTTAACCTCACTTACTTTGGGGCTTATTCTGATTTGATTTTTTTTTTTTTTCTAATTCAAATTGAAGGGAAAGATAGTGTTAGCGAAAAGAGAAAAGGGGGGCAGATAGTTGAGTTCAGTTCTCGAGTCACTGGGCCCAATCTTAGAGGAGATGGCCAGTTTATCTACTGATGATGATGACCAGATTATTGAATTTGTAAGTTATCTTCTATGTTTGTTTTTTCTTCATTTAGAGTCTGGCGGTGGAGTTTTCAGCATAATGATGAACAACCTGAGACAAAAAAAGGAACCACATGTTTGTCTGTTAGTCATCCTTCATGTCCTATCAGACCGAGTGAGTTGTTTTACTTCAGTATATGTTAGTTTGTATGTATTGTGTTGTAGAGTTATCTAAGTGAAACTCTCTGCTCTCCACATTCACCACCTGAGAATGTTTTTGGACCTGATGCTCACACGCTTGGGAGTTGGGCCTTGGCATATTTTCTGGGAATATTGCAAACTACGATATCTTGCTTGGAGATTTTGAAAAGAAGGTACCTGGTGTCATGCTTTGGACAGTTTATGTGTACTATTTCTCAGATTATATTCCACTATAAAGTCTCTTTCATGTATGTTTAGCTGCAATCTAGATAAGATCCTCCTCCCCTCCCATGTAGTTCTTTATTGAGCAGAAAGATCCCCACGGGGTACCTTCAGCATTGTTTGTGTTCTTAAGTTCATTGGCAAGAAGATTTATTTGTTTTTTTTGTCTATGTTAGTGCTGTTTACATGGGCGCGTGGAGGGGAGATCTTCTCTTGCGGCGGTCAATGGTTGACGCGCTGTCTTCTTGCCAAGAGGAGGATTTGTCAGAATTAATGATCATAGTGTGGGATGAATCTGTATTGTTACTTCTTTTGGAGATTAGTTTCGAGGATTTTGGTCCAGCCCTTCTATTCTCATGTATCATGAGTTTATGTCTTTGTGTAGGGTCCCAACTTGTATGGCATGTATGAAGGAAAGCTGCTTCAGTAAAACTTTTTGGCTTTTGGACGTGGGTCAGAATCTGCTTTTTATTAGTTTGGAGCTCAGGCATGCCTCCTTTTCCTTGTTCTTGTAGAGAATGTGATATGATTACTGAATATTTTCGTGGCTTTTCACTTTTTAGTCCATACCGATCTGTCTTACTTTGTATAGGTATGATTACAATATGTACTTTACTGAAGTTATAGGGCTGTTTGGGCATGCAGTTAACATATATAATTTGCTCAATGTGGATAGCAAATTTGATTAAGAAAACTGTACAACCCAAGATTTATATTGGGTTTACAATTACAATGCTGCCATGATCTTGTAGAGATGATAGAAGTTGTGATGATAACACTACTATACCAGTATTAGAGACAACTTCTATTGGACAGTAAAGTAGAAAGAATACCGTTATTGCATTCCTTAATAACTTAATACTGGAGATTTTCATAATACAAGTTATACAACATGCAGCAGTATGCGATGTGCCTTTCTCCAATTGATACTTTTAGAGCTGATGGTGAAAGTGATGAATTCTTTAGTGCTGTTGTTTTCATACTTGTTAGTTATAATTTGATGAAGATTGGGAGGTTCATCTTTTTTTTTTTTTTCCCCCTTACAATGCTTTTATTTTCGGTTTAAAAGTATGTATGATGGTGAAGCAGTAGGAAAATAGTACAAAAAGGATCAGCTCTTGGTAGAGTCAGCATACATGAACTGATCAGTAGCTTCGGAAACTGTTCATTCGCAAAGGTGATCCGATCGAAACTGTTTGTGATAAGTCAACCAATACATGACTACTATGTCTGGAAGAAAAAGAAAATCAAGTGAAGAAAGGGTCAAGTCGACGCGTAAATGGTATGATAATTTGCATTAAAGCTCAAGTCTAGAAAATAAGGCCAAAATTGACCCAAATGGTGGATGATGATGGAGAAAGTTGGTTGGCAATTATCAAGGAAAAAATAGTTTTGCCCGAGGAATAAATACCAAGCCGCCAACTTTGACACTTGCGCAGGCTTAAGAGTTTGGTCATAATTTTCACATCTGAGTTTTGACCAAATATTTTTCAGAAAGAGCAATGAAGTTTGATGTATATACTGTGTACCTCTGAAATTAGATTTCACTCTTCTCCCTGGGAAGGTTGCAAGAAATGCTGATCCTGTTTTTGATCATCTACCTATATGCCTCCCTTTCTTCTGCCTCTGTTGACGTTTTATTCAATTCTTTCACTTCCAATCAACTGATTTTCACCGGCGATGCCACCATTGATTCCTCAACGATCAAACTCACAAAAAATGTCAACAACTTTTCATTGGGTCGTGCTTTCTACCCCTACCCAATCATTGGCTCAAACAATAGCACCATTCCATCTTTCTCAACCTCATTTGTCTTCTCAATTCTCCCTCAACGTAAAACGACACCTGAATTCGGTCTTGCTTTTGTCATTTCCACCTCTGCCATCCCTCCAGGGGACTTGCTTGCTGGCCAATATTTTGGCATCCTGTCAACCAAACACTCTGTTGCTCCAATCTTAGTTGTAGAATTCGATACAGGTCAGAATCCTGAGTTGGATGACAATAACGATAATCACGTCGGGATAGACTTGAACAGTCCTATATCAGTAGTAAAACATGAGGCGGGATTTTACGATGGTGATGAATTTAAACCTGTTAAATTGAGTTCGGGAAAGAACATCCAAGCTTGGATAGAATTTGATGGAAAGGAGCTTGGGATAAATGTTACTATAGCTCCAGTAGGCACATCAAAACCGCTTAAGCCTTTGCTCAGTTATTATGATGGTGTTATTGCTAAATACGTTTCTCCAAGTATGCTCGTTGGATTTTCAGCTGGTAAAACAATCTGGAATGAGACACAGAGAATACTGGCTTGGAGTTTAGCAGACAAAGGAGCCCCAAGACAGATAAACACTTCTGATTTGCCCATCATTCTTCCTGAATCTTCACCATCATCATCATCGTCATCTTCCATATCATCAGGACTCATTGTGGGGATAGCAATAATTTGCGTGGCTGCTCTTTTGTTTATCTCATTGTCTGGCCTATATTGGTTTAAGCTCAGGAAAAAGAGAGGAGATAAATCAGATGAAGTGGAAGGATGGGAGATTGATTACTGGCCTCATAGATTTTCCTACGAAGAGTTAGCCCGAGCCACAAACCAGTTCTCGGATGATGAAATACTAGGACGTGGAGGTTCTGGAAAGGTGTTTAAAGGGCTTATACAAGCAAATAACATCTTTATCGCAGTTAAATCCATTAACCGTGATTCTAAACAAGGCTTAAGGGAGTTCATGTCTGAAATCTCAACTATAGGAAGGCTGCAGCACAAGAATGTGGTTCCTTTACGAGGTTGGTGCAAGGAAGGCCAAGAAATGTTGCTTGTCTATGATTACATGCCTAATGGAAGCCTTTACAGTTGGATTTTTAGCAATTCTAAGACACTGAGCTGGCACAGAAGGCTTATGATTCTAACAGATATTGCAGAGGGATTAAATTATCTGCATCATGGCTGGCTTCAATTGGTGCTGCACCGCGACATCAAGTCCAGCAATATCTTGTTAGATTCAGATTTATGTGCAAAACTGGGTGACTTTGGCCTAGCGAAACTGTATATACACGGTCAGGCACCCACGCCAACACGCTTGGTTGGAACTATTGGATATATGGCTCCAGAGCTTGTGAAAGCTGGCCCAACCATGGGTAGTGATATCTTCAGCTTTGGGGTGGTTGTTCTGGAAGTAGTTTGTGGAAGGAAGCCTACAGAAATGCATTCAGAATATGCACTAGCTTTGGTTGATTGGGTGAGGAAGCTTCACAGAGATGGCAGGCTGAGTGAAGCTCCAGACTTGAGAATTGCTAGGGAAGAATATGAGGTTGCTGATATGGAGAGAGTCTTGGAACTGGGATTAGCTTGCTGTGATGATGTCCCTGAATTGAGGCCAGATATGAAGGAAGTAGTAACATTGTTAATGAACTTGAAAACAAAATATACCTCAGAGCTTCAGGGAGTTGATTGTTCTGATTTTGGAGACTTCTCAACAATCTCAAATTTATCAGTCACCTCTGATTATGGTCCAAGAACATGATAAAGTATTGAAGATAATGTGGCAGGATTCAACCTCTGTTTACCAGTAGTGAAGTCAAGTATCAGTTAACATGTTCTTGTTTTACTGTTTCTGGACAAAGATTACAGTTTGTACAAAGCTTTCAAAATTCTGGGAATCCAGTAATTCTCAGGAGTCAGGATTGCTTATGAACTCTGCAAATTCTCAGGAGTACAAAATTGATTTTATGTGGATTTGTGTCGTTCAGATTAGCATGGCACATGGAGTTGGTCAATAATGCCAAGTGGGCTAAAAATTTTGGACTTTTGACTAATAAAATTACAGTGGGACTAGAGAGTTGATCATTAATTTGCCAAATTACTGAGAAAATTCTTGAAGTTTTGAGGTTAAGGGCCACAAGGGGGCCTCTCTAAATTCACTTTGCAGAAGAAAAAGGCTCTACAACACAAATTCTCAATGCTAAAATGTTTCAAGGAAAGAAGAAGACAGGATAGATTCTTTGTGGGAAATTTTCTGGATAGAATATATAGCAGTGTTAGTTGTGGATATGGTATCATCTGTTTACTCGAAAAATTCTTTTTAGAGCTAAAACTAGTGGACGTGTATTGGTCATAGACATGACAAAATTCATCCACCACTCATTATGCTCGACCAAAGTTGAGCTCCCAAATCTCTTTACACCAAACAAAAAAATGAGACCCAAAAAAAATGTTCACTGTTCTTCAACAACTCTCTCTTTTCTTCTTACTTCTGAGCTTTCCATGGCAAGGGTTCTACCTGAATAATTCTTCAACATTCTGTGCAAACTCACTGCTCTTACTACATTCCTTGAACCCATTTCTTTTTAAGTCATGACTTCCTCTTACTGCTTATCTTTAGCTAGAAACAGGGCTGCTTCAGAACCATTAGTTCAGAATTCTCATCTACATCTCCCCAAGAACGGATCTTTCCGTGTCTTTTCAAATGAAACACAGTTTCTTAAAGGACAACCCTTGATTTTGAAGCCTCAGATATGCCTTATAAAGCCATCTTTTCAATCATTCTTTCTAAGTTCAAGAAACTCTGGCTGCTTCATACAGCCTTTTTCTGCAGCCTTGTCATCTTTTGCTGAAGCTGAAGGCCAAGAAGGTGGAGATGTAGAAGTCCACCAGGGGCATGAAGATGATGCAAAGACAAACAGTGAATTGCCTGGAATGGCACAGGCTTTTCATATATCATCTAATACAGCATCAGCTATATCAATATGCATAGCAATGGCTGCCCTTGCTTTTCCCTTTTCCATGAAGTCACTGACTCAAGCGGCTGGATTGAAGATTAAGCTGTTGACATATGTTACTTTGCTATCTGGATTTTACATGGCTTGGAACATTGGAGCTAATGATGTGGCTAATGCAATGGGCACTTCAGTTGGCTCTGGCGCTTTATCACTCAGGAAGGCTGTGTTGATTGCCGCAGTTCTGGAATTCTCTGGAGCATTGCTGATGGGAACCCATGTTACCAGTACAATGCAGAAGGGTATTCTTGTTTCCAGTGTTTTTAATGGAAACAGCACTTTGCTTTTTGCAGGGCTCCTGTCTGCTTTAGCTGCTGCTGGCACTTGGTTACAGGTGCATTTCTAAATTATTTGATCTCTTGATTAGAGAGGTTCAGTGCACATTAAGTATGACTTCTATTAAAAGAATCTGGGCTTTTATGTGGTTTCTTAGAGTAACTAACTGATTCGCAGTTCAAGGAAAAAGAGAAAACCATGCTTTATTCTATTTGGATAGTGTTGGTGCGTTAGCAAAAGATATTAAACGGATGGCTAAGTTGAATGAGAATGGCTTCAAGTGGCTATAAATTACCTTCCTTCATGCTTTGTTTGCCTTTATAACATGAAAAAGTATTGTAGATGATAATCATTTAGGATAATTTGAAGCAGCTCATAACTCTTGCAACCCGCCAAAACAATTGACAAGGAAAAAGCAAGAGTATTCTGGACTTTTTATTTTTCTGCAGTAAAACAACCCCAAGAGAACTCATTTACTAGGAATACAGTACCTAGGAAGTTACAGGAAGTTGGAGTGTCAATAAGAGTTTCAAACCTGTAGTTACCTCTTCAATAAATCAAGACATAATGCAAGAAATCTTAGATGGTTACTTCAACCTAATATCTATATTCTCCCGCAAATAGAACTAAACCAATCTCGTAAAGTAGGGAGTATGTTAAGACTACACACTATTTTAATTTTTCCGAACTCCTGAACTCCAAAAGTGATAGCTGGAACAGTATTCATTTATTTGGATATTTAACCGAAATGTAACTTGAGGATCGTAAAGAGTTCAACTTATTTCCTAATTCATTTTGTTCTCCTCCTCAAAATTGCGGATATTTCAGTGGCATGGATCCGTATCAACTGTTTTGTCATTAGTATTAGTGCAACAGAATGTAATTGCCCCAGACTCTGTCGCAATGTGATGCAGAACCTTAAATACCATAAACCTTTCATAAGCTGTGGACTTTAGATCATAAGAAGGCCATCTCACATCCACATGTGGTAACTAAATATCCTTTCTCTATTATGTTCAGACTTCAATATCTACTATTAACTGCTTACTGTTGTTATCTGACACTGCCAAATATTAGTTCTTAAAACATCACGAATGAACAAACTGATGTTGTTCAAAGCGTCTCTGGCTTTAACTCGTAAAAGTACTTGACTTTACATTATTTAAGCTCTGCCGCTATTTCAATTTCTTGAAAGGTATTGGTTCTGTACTCAGGTTGCGTCGTATTATGGCTGGCCAGTTTCGACTACTCACTGTATTGTAGGATCTATGGTTGGCTTCGGTCTTGTTTATGGGGGACCTGGTGCTGTCTTTTGGAGTTCATTGGCAAGAGTAACTTCCTCATGGGTGATCTCACCTTTAATGGGAGCAATTGTGTCATTCCTCGTCTACAAGTGCATTCGTAGGGTATGTTCTTAAAAGCTAAAGCTTAATTCTTGAACAGCAATGGCTGTGCTAAAAAGAAGAAAACAAGAAAAATTTGCAATTTGAAAGTTAATTATAGGGAATGAATACCAACAAACTGTTGCAATGATAGTCTCTTCCAAATATTACAGAAAAATCACTAATTCATCCCTACTGACATCCTTTAATATTTTTAGTTTGTTTACAGTGCACCGAACCCAGGACAAGCTGCAGCGGCAGCTGCACCAATTGCTGTGTTTATTGGCGTGACTGGAATATCCTTTACTGCCTTTCCTCTTAGCCAGCAACTTTCTATAGCTGTTGTCCAGGCTTTAGCTCTTGGTACTGCCGGTGCGGTGATTGTTTACAGGATCATTCACAAGCAACTTGGTCATTTACTTGTGAAAGCAAATTCAGGAGAGGAATTGCCCAAGGAGGACACCATCATTGCATCCCCAAAACATCTTGGATTTCTTTCTGACATTGCAGGTCCCAAGGGTGCCCAGTTAGAACTGGTTTACGGAGTTTTTGGCTACATGCAAATCCTCTCTGCCTGTTTCATGTCATTTGCTCATGGTGGAAACGATGTGTCTAATGCAATAGGTCCCTTGGCTGCAGCACTATCAATTCTTCAAGGTGGTGTAAGTGGAGCAGAAATTATCATTCCTAATGATGTTTTAGCCTGGGGTGGATTCGGTATTGTTGCAGGACTAATGATGTGGGGATATAGAGTGATAGCCACCATCGGTAAGAAGATCACTGAATTAACACCAACACGAGGATTTGCAGCCGAATTTGCTGCTGCATCTGTGGTTCTGGTGGCCTCTAAGTTGGGACTTCCAATCTCAGCCACACATACACTTGTTGGAGCTGTCATGGGGGTGGGATTTGCTAGGGGACTTAACAGTGTTAGAGCAGAAACAGTCAGGGAAATTGTGACTTCTTGGGTTGTCACAATTCCGGCAGGTGCTTTCTTTGCAGTAATATACACTTGGATCTTGACTAAGCTGTTGGCCTATATACTTTAAGTGTACATTACCGGACTATAGTGCGAACTCCACCCGACGCCAAAACTAAGAATCACAGTTATCTTTTTGAGTGATTGTAGTAGACAAGATAGAAATTTTGTGAACTTTTTCTGACATTTCTGGGATGGAGCATGCATGATGCTCCAGGGAAAATATATAGAATTATGACTGTTGTTCGAATATAATTGTTGAACTCAGCATTCTACATGCCTCAGGTAACTGCACTTGGGGAATAACAGAATATGCATAAAAGCTACACATTTTTGCAAGTGAATCCTTCTTGTTTAGGTTAACAAATTTAGTTGTTGCAAATGCTCATGTTACCCATCAAAAAGAGAAGTTTTTGGTAGCCAGAATTTTAAAATGATTTCTATTTTCATGGATTTGGCAGATAGCAGTTTCTTTCTGAGGGGATGCCTTCTGATTGATTATAATCATAAAAAGCAACTCAAGTACCTCAGAGATTAATCTTCTCTCTCTCTCTCTCTCTCTCTCTCTCTCTCTCTCTTTTTTTTTTTTTTTTTTGGTAAAAGCAAAGATTTATCGTTATAAACTGTATCTTTCATATAGAAGCAACGGACGTTCATAATTTTTTCTGAGCTCAGACCTTGGATTAACATGCATTCAGCAAAAGAATGAAGAGAGAAAAATTAACTACTCGGAGCCTTTAAATAATCTACAGTCTAAGGACATTTTGGTGTTTGGTCTACAAGTAACAATACTGTAATTATAATAAAAGGTTTTCACATACCACAAGTTTCATCACAGCTACAGATTTCAAAAGAAAGAGAGAATCATGGAGAAACTTCCCGGATGGATGGCAGACCAGGCTCCCATTCTTTCTGTATTCTTGGTTTTTGGACTGGAGGTACAAATGGTTTCTTTTGGCGGGTTCTTTTTTGCAGAGAATCAGACCGTTTTTCATTGCCAATAAAAATGTAATTCGCGGAACAAACAGTGTCCTCTGATACACCTGAGCCTACATCTGAAACATCTTCTATGCCCAAGCTTGGCTCCTGTCTTCCTTCAAGTTGTCTCATTTGAGTTTTGCGCAAGTATCTTCGTTCCAGTTTCTTGCGAGTCTTGGATGGTACCAACAGATATTTGTTGCCAGGAAACAAATAGTTTTCTGCTGGAATAACAGCACCAAAGGGACACTTGAAGACATCTGGCCTAGTGACCTCCATCCCTGGATAATTTTCCATGAAATAGGATGCAGGAACTGGATACTGATATACCTCATATTTGCCTCCTGGATGAACTATCCGGAAAGAGGTATTTCTCAGTTGTTTGTTTGATGTAACTTTGATATTCGTCAATGCGAGTTGATTGTTGCACTTGGATTCGCATTCAGAAGAATCAGAACGCTTGAGTAATACTAGCAAACGAGCCCATATCTTCAGCATTGCCAACCACCTGAGGCGACACCCCACTCTACTCTGAAAAGTTGCAATATATTCCCAATCAGATGGGATGATTCAATCTGGTTCAGCAGTTTCAATATGGTTAACTATGTATGTCCATCTGACAGTATCTTTTCTTTTTCATGGCCGGCTTTCGTATATATATCACCATTTCTCACATGGCATCAGTGATGAATCCAACAGCTAGTTATGAGAGAATTTATCTTGTCCGAAGAATATACCACTCTTTGAAATCTCCACCTCGTGAAAATCAATGACACCATATGCAGAAAAAGTACGAAGAAAACACACATCTTGTTCAGAAATAACTTGTCAATCTTATCTTGTGCCATTGCTGTACACACATTCTTGTATTCATATCATACTCCCAAAGCCCTGATGATACCTGGCGTTCTAATTTTTTCCTTCTACCACTACTCCAGTTGTTATGAATGACAAAACAACCCTTCTCCCTACACACATCTTTCACACTTTTTTCCAGCCATAAATCTTTGTATGCACCATTTGGAAAGAGGTCTCTCTCCAAGAATTGAACACTGACATTTGTTTCAGGTTCTAGGCATCTGTTATCACCAATACGATATGATCCTCCTTCACCGCATAATACATCATAAAAGCTTGGCTGCTCCGACAGATTGGATACTAATGCATGTTCCACTACTTTTTGCAATGCTGCAATAGTCTGACTGTCCGAGTTAACATAATAGAACCCAGAATTAAGGCGTCGGGGAAGGTTGATTGGTCCTGGAGACATTAGCTCGATATCAGAATATACTACTAACAAAGCAGAGAAAAAAATGACACAAGTTACGTAAGGAAAGCTACATAGTTTGGAATATAGGATTCTAGAGTAAGCACCTGTTGTTTTAAACTCATCAGATTGTGCCACAAGAATTGCAGGACCAAAGGAGCTCAGGAAAGGCAGTGGATTTTTGAACCAATACACATCAACATCGCTCATGAGGACATTATAGCCCAGCTTCAGTATCTGCAACACCACTCTTGACTTGACCTTGGTTACTTTCTGAAAGCATTCTGTCCCGAAATGACAGTCATCAAAGCTGATGTTGGTTGGAGCAGCTTCATAGGCAAAAACCGGAAGTCCCTATGCAGATAGGACCATTTAATAGACCACTTAAACAACATAGTTAGAGATAAAAACTATTGCAAGACAATCAAACTTTCCTACAAGAAAGTGCACTAAAAAAACTCATTACTGACTTCAGATCAGAATCAAAACCAGAAAGTGATAAATAGAAAGTCACCTGCAGGATAGAAAATTCATAGATTTCGTGATCAATAGCACCAACCAAAAAGTTGGAAACCTTGAGGCGTCTTAGCCTGCACACCCAGCTCATTAACAAGTCCTTATAGCTATATCCAGCCAGAGCTAGCACAATTGTCCTATTCAGGTCTGCGCGCATTGAAAGAAGTTGTTCAAAAGAGTGTGGGAGTGACAATGAGCTTGACCAGGGCAATCGGTCCTTTACAGAACAATTTTCAATCCCTTCATCTGACTTCAAGGCATCAACACAGTCCAGAATCTTTTTTCCATTCCTGGTGGTGGAAATGGCACGATCCCTTAAACTAAATGACACGCGACCTCCCAGCGGATAAACAATATCTTGTTCTCTATTTGTGAAAATATAGTGTCCATCACACTTAGAGAATCTAAACAAGTTAGAAAAGTTAGCTCCACGAAAAGAAAATGAGCCATAAAGCTTCCCTAGATGGACATTTCCTGTGAACTCCCAGTTTATCTTTTCAGTGCCTGAATCTGTAGAAGCTTCTTTTAGCTGGTAGTACTCCTGGTTGGGATCACTCACGAAGGTACTTGACACAGTCCAACTGACATCAAATACAAACCTATAATCTGAAGACAAAGCTTCTGTTACAATCCATTGATTGTGAATTCCTTTCCCATACAAAAAAGGAGGGATGACACCATTATGTAGAGGAACATCTCCGTTATTCCACGCCAGAAGCATCCTTCTGTCACAATGTTCCCACTGCAATTTCCGAGCGAGAAATCCCTGCACAGAAGAGTGTAAGTTCACTATAAATTCGCCTTTGGTCCAAGCTGCGCCGAATCTACATTAGTTTCCTTCGTACCTTTTCATATTTGACTTTCTTCCCATCAGCATCCCACATAAATGATAAATGGGTAACATTTGGGGATGAAGCAACAAGGAGCCAATCATGATCAAGTTTCCCAGCATATTTCAATGTGGAAAAGAAGTCAGGAAAGAGAACCATTTCTGGATCAATCATAACAGAAATATCTGATGCTGAGGCTTGAGATCTCGCAACCATTGAATGAAAGAATGGGCTACCTAAAAACCTACACAAAAATTTGGGCAAGGTTCATGGACCTCAAAATCTTCTCCTTGAACTTGGCAGAAGCTATTTCAACATTTTTTTGAGAAAGTATATCATCGCTGTACTCTCATTATCGATTCATAGTGATAGCTAAGAAGCTTCAGTAACTACAAACTGATGCCTAAAAACAATAAACTTACGAGAAATCAATGTTGGACTCAACCGAAACCCTTGAACCAAATGCCGATGCGAAAGAGACTGCAGAAGAATCTTGGCTGAAAAGCACCACATTGATACTTGATGACAAACCAAGCCATGATCTAACAGCCACTTCCTGCCTTTCTCCAACTGAACCGACAAAACCTTTTGGTGCTGTGAATATGGTGACTGTGGGATCAATGGAATACGTAACTCCATGACCAAAAAATCTAGGTTTCTTGAAATTGTCTTTGGTGGAAAATGACAACATCTGAGTGGCATAAAAAGAAGCACATATGAAGAAAATCCCAAAAAGCCATATCAACCATAATCCAAACGCCAATGCCTGCCAGTTGAGTAAAGATCACATTAAAACAAGTAAAACACAGTATAAAATTAAAACAAACACACTCTTCTGGGAAAACGATGGAACAGTAGACCATACCTTCTTGTTATAAGAACAAGAGAACAAAAGGGTCCTGCAGAGTTTCATGAATAATGGCCTTGATTTTATTTTATATGTTTTCTATATTTTTGTTGGTTAGAGAATGGCGTGGTTCATGGTTACAATTCTGGGTCGAACTTGATTCTAGAGCTGATTTTGTTAGAAAGAAAGGCAACTTTTACGAATGGAAGTAACTGAAGAAAATGGAGAAGGTGAAAGAGCAGCAGGGCAGCATCTCCATTGCTGAGTTACGGAAAAAAGTCTACAAAAGTGTCTGAAAGAACATGTGATAACACCATTTTCACGCTCCTCGAATCTCAACAAAGCATTTTTCAATAATTGTTTGTGCAGCTGGAGATGTATATGGAACTGCATTTTTAAGTCAAAGAAAGGGAGGGAGAAAATCTTATTACCGAGTGGAGTAAGAACTGAAAAATAAAATAAAAATCAAATGTTCGGTTTACTTTAACAATCAGTTCCACTTCCACTTCAAAGTCAGACCTCAAATGCTGACTTTCAAATTCCCAGGTCCTCCAGGATCTCTGAGGGGACCATAGGCTGACAGTACTTAATTATTGACCCAAATCCAGTGGTTTTCTCTGATGATCCTCTGTATTTCGAGAGCAAACTTGCGATTTTGCAGTTCCATTTGTGTCAGCAGTATCCAAATTCCAAAGAATGTTTCTAACGTCATTCGTCGGAAAAGAAACTATCTTTAAAAAAATAATAATAATACTACTCCTCTAGTCCTAATTTTAAATAATACTCCCTCCGTCCCAAAAAAAAATAGTCCAAATTGAATTTTGAAATTTGTACTACTTTTAATACAAATTTGAAAACTCAACGTGGACTATTTGTTTGGGACAAAGGTTTTAATATACAATGAAAAAGAGCAAGTTACACAAATCTCATTATCGGGAAAGTGAATCGGTAATTGAAATCATAATTTTAATTTTCTTGGCATCCAGCAATTCACATTAGGAAACCGAAGACCCCTAAATGTTCAATTACAGCTCAACAATACCCCAAACCAACCAACCTGCACACTGTAACATGTAAATACACGGCCACTTGGGCCATAGAGAATTAAGATTCATGCAAAATTGACCTTGAATACTTTACAGATACTAAACAAACCTAGGGAAAAAGGAACTTCCTTTTCACCTTTTCTTTTCCAGCATTCAAGACGTCAAAAGCAAAAAACAGAGGCGAGGGTGAAATGAGTGGTCGTTGGAAGTAAATTTTCAACTACTAACTAACATACTATCCTACATAGCTCACGTAGACAAGGTTAATGCTGCACAATACCAAACTATTGAGCTCCAGCTTCCATTATCAAGCAGCTGCAGTATATCATCACTCTGATAAGGAAACAATTGCATAGCCATCTCAGCAACAACCACTGGCAGTCAATCTGAATTTTGATGACTCAACGTTCCACTGCTTTAATTCTCTGTTAATTCATGCACACTCTGAGGCTTGCACAGGGTTCCAGGCTTCATCACACTCACAAGGATTTCTATCACCTTTTCCGACGAATAGGTGACCTTGATCTCGATCTGGATCTCGACTTTTTCCTCCTGAAAATCAAAACAAACCAGTTCAATTGCGAGATAAGAATGGCCTGATTTTGCGCAGATATTTCCTTTCATCCCTCTTACAATTCTGGATTCACACTAAAAATAAAAATCACAACTCTATGTCCCTCCAGAAACATACCTGGAAGTCTCAAGAGAAGAGTAAGGAGAATGCCTGCGCTGAGAGTGCTTGCTATGAGGTGACCGCGAAACATGTCTATAAATGAAACATTACATACTAATCGAGTTAAAATATAAAAAGTTTGAACGTAACTCGTCAGCTTGTAAGCTTTCAAGCTGAACAAACCTGTGAGTTAGAACCTATTATTGTTCTTAAGAACATTACTACAGTGAAATTCGAAATGATCACTTGAGCAGGTTTTCATCTTAATAAAACATAATCATTGGCAAGTTTCCTAGGGCTGCCTTTGAAACGAAAAATCATGACTGTAAAATTAATCATGTTGTACTCTCGAACCTTGAAATATTAATTACTGAAAATATCATATAAGTATAACCTACAAGGAATGTGATTAAAGAATGACAATTTCTACAACGGTTTCTTTAAGATCAATAAACGTGTACTGCATTAAAATAAACAGCATTGCTAGATAGCGAATGTGCACAGCCTATCACTGTTCTTCCTTCCTGCTTCTGCAAAGTAAACTATACAAGCAAACAAGGTACAAAGGAAAACATGCGAAGGAAACCGTTGTACTGGCGGCTGCTTATCAACAATGACAATTAAAAAGAACCAGGAGAAGAAATAACAGCAAAACAATATATGCTAAAAATAAGAGGCAACAAAAGGAAACAAAGCAGTATCACGGAAATGACCACAATATAGTTACAAACAATAAAGTAAACAAAGAAAAGGAGGCCAAATACTGGAACTAAAACTATTACAGAGAACTGATATAGGTATAATTACTGTGCTCACAAAATTACTGTCCCCAATTTCATTTTAAACCAATCGTGAAGATTAGTAGCATCAGGTAAATATACGAGTATGCAATCTAGTCTCCTATAGAAAGGTGTCCGTTTGAAAGCACACTTCCGCATAGCTCTCATTCACAAAGCACACGTTTTAGACCCTTCCCTTCAACATCCTTAGGTGAGATAAGATATTAAAAACCAACTACGGAGCATAATACCGATTAGTGAATAAAATGACGTACATCTACTCAGAAAACACTTCTACAAATAAACAATTCAAAGCACGAGCTACATTGAAAGAAAGAACCAATGCAAGTGATCCAAAAGATCTCTTCCACATAAGAACATACCTTTTCTTAGATCTAACAGGGGATGGTGATCTCCTTCTCCGGGAGTGCAGCTTTCTGCAGGTTGAAATTAAAAGATTAGCAACTCATGAATTTCAAGGCCTGAAATGTCAGAAAATTGAATATAAAAGAAAGGGTGTCACATTTTAGCGTCGTCTGAAGATTCATCACTTGATTCATGGGCATGGCCACCACCTCTGTGGTTTCTGTCCTTACCAGAGGCTGACGATGCAAGGTGCTTGTTCTGCCTGCTAGAATCAGTTGAGTCTCTGTCTTTAGGTTTTTCTCTTTTGTCCTCCTTCCCTCTTCCCCTTTTTCCTTCACTATCTTCTTTAACAACTGCTCCACTGTCTGTCTGCCTCTCCCTTCTACTCTCCCTGATGTAATCAGGAGATCGCCTTTTCCTCGAATCAGAATCCCGTCCTCTTTCAGCAGACTTCACAACCTTATCTCCCCTACTTTCCTTTGAACCACTCTGATCATCTCTCCTTTCCCTTTTAATTTGTCCCTCATCATGCCTGCTACGCTTCTCCTCTGTTTTTTCATGCACACTTTCCTTAAAAGTCTCCAACTCTTTGACATTATTGCTTTTAACAGAAGAACCCCTGTCATGCCCGTGCCTATCATTCTTATCTAGTTTATCTCTAATTTCGTCACTTAAATCATCATTCACTACTGATTTCCTGGAAATGAGATTATCAACTGGTTTTTCACTTTTCCCAGCGTTATTTACACCTAGATTGTTAGGTGCATCAACATCCTTAAGCTGTGCTACACCAGACTCTCCATTAGAAGTAGTGCCCTCATCCTTCAACTCAGTGATTGCAGCAGTATTAGAATCCATATAGACAGGAACCTCATTTGCTTTACCATTTGAGCCACCATAATTGACAGCATCCTTACTCAAAATTGCCTGCCCCGGTAAATTCTTCTCCTTGGAATTAGGATTACCAGAGCTCTCAGGTTCACTCTCATCATCATCTGAGGCATAACTACCAAGACCCAACACATCACCACGAGAGACATCAAACTTTCCGATACCATCAGAAGAGACAGTTTCCTTGATTTTCACAGGTATGGAGGCAGTTATGGTCGATTCAGTAGTCGCAGTGGTCAGTGTTGAAGTTGAATGTTTGCTATCTGGAACGGAAACACCAATTTCACAGAGAAAAAAGAATTTCTTAACTTCAAGTAAACAAGGAAGCAAAACTGGTAAATAATCTGAGGGATGAAGAAATATAAAACAACCCCCTCAAACAAAAAAAAAAAAAAACCAAAAAAGGATGTAAATGACGTGCAGATCCACCTTCAATGACAGGATCATCTTCACTAAGAACTTTCGTTGCAATTTCATCAAAGAGCTCTGCAGTAACCTGCAACAAATATCAAAACCTCAAGCCTCCGCTCCATGCAATAGGAAAATTATAAACTACTAAATAAACTATGCGTAACCTGCAAAAGAACATCGGTCACGATGCGCTTTATCTCGTTATTTATCGCTGCCGTTCTAGCAGCTTCCAGATCATCCTAAAAAATAAATAGATAGCAAATCAGCAAACAGCACCAAAGGAATCTTGATGCGGGATCACAAGAGTCATATAACATTGTTTCAACTAAAGTGAAGAAAGACGGATATGATCTAAGCAACTAGATTGTACATTTGAAGCTAAAATGTACCAGAAAAGAATTTAACAACAAATACTACGAAAGATCCATCAACTAACTAAAAGAATTATAAAACTAACACCATTCATATCAGAAATACTAAGACCAGACTAATTGATAGCACTCATCCAACAAGCAGAATATAAATTGAACCAAAGGACGAATTCTCAACACTTAGAAAAGAAAAAATGCCCAAAAAAATAACCCTTGGAGATATCAAAAACATGCATCCTTATTAAGAATATATAAGAACATGGGTTGATTAATTGCATATCTCTTTCACAGGAATCTCAATGGTTTCCTAATTGTTTTATCCCGAGATTATTAAGAAACCAAGAAGGCAAAAGCTAGGAGCCCAGACTAAATGAAAATTATTAATAGCAACAGTAGGGTTCAAACGAATAGAATCAAGAGAAGTGAAAAAACCTCATCATCGTCTTCTTCCTCATCCGACCGAGTATCAATGCTTTTCTGATCTCCCATTCTATAGTCATCTTCTGTGGATTCGGCATCCTCTTTTGGAAGATCCATAGATGAATTAACAATTACAGGTTTATTTTTAATTATTTCCTCCCGGAGCCAGTTGGGAACAGAAGCCTGAATATCATCCAAAATGAGATCAGCTAAGCAATTATCAGATAGTTAAGCACTAAAGAGTGAATATTAATGCTAATTCCGATGATGAACACCTTCTTAGGCCGTTCAGATGCAACAGGTGCCCCAAAAGAATCAACAGAAAAAGGTGCCCCAGGATGAAGTTCTGGCCCAGCAACTATTCCAAAGGAGCCAGCAACTGATGCTACCGCAGGTTGGAAGCTTGGTCCAGTCATCCTTCCAAATATTGGCGTCGTATGTCCAGGGACAGGAGAAGGTACAGCTGCTACCGGATCAACCTACAAGCACGCAAATATTGATGAGCAAAGCTAAAAGAAATTGCGTGATTTAATGCAATCTAGGCAATAGAACCGGTCAAAAAAAATAAAAATAAAAAAAAAAATAAAAAAATAAAAACCTGTGATCCTGCTGGAACCATTGCTGTAACTGGGGGATAAACTAATGCTGGCTCAGTAGGAGGAACAAAATTATAGTCAGGAGGAACTGCTGCAACATGCTGTTCCATGCCTCTCGAGATGTCCCCTGTTACAAAACTATATAGTCAGATGGCATGCAAGCAAATTTCACTGTAAACTGCCTACAGAACTTGCAGCACAGAATATCCTTTGCCTAGGACCACAAACACCACTATTTTCTTTCTCCAAATTCTACCCAACGTACTACAAAGTCATCCTATTTTTTAACTGGAGGAGAAGGATCGAACTTAATCTCCAATAAAACTAAAGAAAGGCTTGTTTCCAATTTATTTTAACTTCTGTTCCATCAAGTCAGGGAAGTACAAAATCACAATACATAAAAGCAAATCTTGAGTAGGAGCTTCAGGCAAAAGCAACATATTGTAGCAGTTTTTTTTACCTGCAACAGAAGAATAACTAGAAGGTACCTCCTGCTGATGGACTGATGAACTTATAGATAGATCCTGCCCAGAAAATGTGGCAGCTGAATCTGCAACCATGCTTCCATCTTTAAATGCATATGCTGGATGCTGAGATTGCTGGTCACCTGATGTAACATTATAAGCAGCCCATGCCCGGGCCTTTGTGGCCCAATCTTCTTCTTTGTTATTAGCTGCAGATGAAAGAAATGCACATCGTACATCATCTACTTGTGGATACATCCGCCACACAGAAGATTCTTACAAGTTAATTAAAGTAAAGAGGGAGCATCTGATTTTGTTGCATGTGACAACCCAGGTATCTGGTGGGGGTGCAGATCTTAAGGAGAGGCTCATTAACATTGTAGAAAAGGATGAGAATTTTCCAAAAAAGTGCCACACCCAACACCCATACCCACGAGTGCCAACTCGGGTACTCCTCAAAAGAGGAGAGTCTGGGAAACATAGTAAACTACCATCCCAATTAAGCGCCACAAGTTAAAAAAGTTTCAGGGTATATGACAGTTCAAAATAAAAGAAGAAAATATTTCTAAAAAGAATGTTAATTACACTCCGGTCTCATTTATAAGGCACAAATTTGAACAACATTTAGTATCAATTTCAGCCTTATATTTAGAAAGACACAAACTGCATCAAATAACATCGTAGTTAACAAAGAATCTGTCATCAAGTTTGCCTTCATGATCACTAGTTGGAGGCAATAAATTCAAAAGTGAGCAGTATCAATGCTTCATGAAAACTCAATCGCTAGATAAAACAATATAAGTTAAGAAGAAGAAAAGAAAGGGTGCATAGGAGGCCAAGAGAAATGCCATCCATAAAAAACATGCGTATGCATTTGTAGATGCGTATTTACTACCTTGATACTCCCAACTTTGCTGATGACTCCAACTGGCAGGCCCCCACTCCTGCAAAGCAAAAATAGCATTCTACATTATTCACACTAATCCACAGCTATCGAATAAACACACAGCCAAACCTTACGGACTTCCATAATGTTATAAAACAAAGCCTTCCGAATAGCCAAAAAGTTAAAACCCTTTCCAATAATAAAATGTCTAAATACGAGTTGCCAAAGGCAATTTGAGTTTCTTTAGCTCAATTACTTTTGGTGAAGGAAGTACTGCTTTGAATCTCATGATCAGAAGCTTAGTACTTAGTTTTCCCTTTTCTATTAGCGTAGTTAATTTTTCACAATGGCGCCTCATGGCCTCCGTGATGAAATTTCAATTTCTAGTTTTCTATCTTTCATACAACAATAATCATGCAAAATTGACTCACTATAGAAAACAAGTATCCAGCAACAGGGAGAAGTATCTTACCTGATTGACCTGAGGGTAAGGCTGGGGCATAGGAGGATGTCGCGGCGGAAGAGAATGGTGCGAATGATGCGGAGGAAGAGGATACTGATTAGACGGAGCTGGATACGGCGTCGTGTATGGAGGCGGAGGTGGAGGCGGAGGTGGAGGCGCAGGATAATGATTGGGAGGAGGAACAAACTGATCAGGATGCTGCGGCGCCGGTGGCCACTGCTGATGCGGCGGTTGCTGAACATGAGGAGGAGGAGGTGGTGGTTGTAGTGGTTGTTGTGGAGAGGAAGAAGGATGTTGGTAGTGGAATTGATTCGAGTACCACTGGTTTGGAGGATGCACCGGCGGTCTTTGCCCTTGGTGGTGGTGGTGGTGGTGGTGGTGGTAATATGGATCTGCTGCCGGCGGAGGAGGTGCCGGCGGTCTCATGTAACCATGCTGCTGCTGGAAATCCATGATTTGCCCCTTCTCTTACAGGTGGGTTTTAGGGTTTTGGATGCTTTAATTAATCGAATAATGGTAGACGGGAGACGGAAGATAATCAGATAATATGCACGGGTTGGGAAAATTATTCCGCAAACTCAAAAAATATGCGGTTATTTTCCTACATAACATTACAGTGTTTATTAGGGAATATTGACGGATACATCCCAACGTTTACTTTCTGCTAGTCAATTCATCCCAAACTTTTAAAATTGAGTGATTACATCCTAAGGTTTTTAAAATTAAGTGCAACAATCCCATAACCTATTGTTAATTTAGAGTAACAGGTAAATTTTACTTAATTTCATAAATTTTACTTAGTTCGGTATTTACTTCCTTTGCTAATTATTTTTTCTTTTTTTTTTATTTTAGTCTGGTTAATTATGTCATGCCATCGGTCCATCTCTCCCAATACCATTACGGTTACTGAACAAAATATTCGGTTTTTATTTTTTAATCTGTTTGAAATTTTTTAATAATTTTTTCAAAATAGTTTATTAATAAATGTCCAATTTCAACATATCTTTTACATTTTCAACACTTTTTTTTACAATCTCAATCCAAAAAATACCTAAAAACACACAATAAAAAAATCTAAACATAGGTATTCAATTTTTGTTTGAAACAGGTGGAATCAAAATCCACCATGCATTATTTAGATATAAAAAAAATTTAAAAATAAAAAACCCAATTGCTTCTTCATAATTAATAAAGTCATAACGAGGTTTGGCAAAATTTTATTAAAAAAATATTAAAAATTAAGAGAGAGAGAGAGAGATAGTGAGAGAAAATACCAATTTTTACTTGTTGTACAGGTCAATTTTATGTTGTTTCAGGTCATGGGATGGTTGCACTCAATTTTAAAAACCTTGGAATATAACCACTCAATTTTAAAAATTTGGGATAAATTGGTTAGTAGAGGATAAACGTTGGGATGCATCAACTAATATTCCCATATTTATTATGTTGCCTTTTTTTTATACATCAGTGAAAGTATTAATATTTTAGATTTTCACCCTCGTAAAAAAAAAAATTAGATACCCCAGCTAGTAATAACCATCTTCACCCTATTTTCAAAATTTTTTACTCTTAATTGTATACTTTTTTACTCGTAAAAATTACTATATTAATTATATTAATTACACTGTGTTCAAAAGTATTGTTTCGACTAATCCCAATCCGAATTGAAAATTTTAAAATTCCTTTTTCTTTGGGGGGTAAAGGAGACAATGGAAAGTTGTTCCGCCAACAATATGATTCAGCGTATCTGAGTTGATAATAAAACGTGCACATCTGGTCATCAAAAATTTGTTTGATAATCATTTAAAAATGTTACTTTCAAACCAGTACTTACACAAATTGCAATTAACATAGACCCGATAATTGTATAGCAATTTATATTGCTCCTGAATCCTAATCAATCAATCATGAGAACCACGAAAATCATTAATTAAGCGTCCGATTGACGACTGAGAAGAGCCCCCTGCACTTAATGCATTTCTTGCTTTCTCCTTCAATTCCTTCACTCTTGCTCTAATGTCACCATCAAGCTGCATCAGCTTTCTGATCCCACCTTCAATTTCATCTGCTCCAACAACAACAACACCTTGATTCCCATTCATCCTGATTTCAACTGCGATACCCAAATCCTTCACTAACAAAAACGCATTCAACTGCTGCTCTGCATACATAGGCCAAGTCGCCATTGGAACTCCAAACCAAACACTTTCCAGCACCGAATTCCATCCACAATGTGTGACAAATCCTCCGACGGCCGGATGGCCTAAAACTAGAGATTGTGGTGCCCAACCGATCACTTTTCCGATGCCACAAGTCCGGTCCAAGAACCCTTCAGGCAAAACTTCTTCGTAATCATCATACTCACTTGGATATTCCAAAAGTTTTTTATTTCGAGCCTTCCGCAAAGACCATAAGAATCTACATCCACTTTGCTCCACTGCTTTTGCGATTTCCTTAACTTGGTCTAGCTCAAACGACCCGAAACTCCCAAAGCAAAGGAAAACTACAGATGAATTGGGCTGATCATCTAGCCATCTCAAGATGGTTTCGGAATTCTCTAAATTATTGCTGATTCCCCTGAAGTTTATGAGTGGTCCAACAGGGTAAATTGCTAGCAAACTCTGGTTTCTTAAAAGGGCTTGTATTGCATATGATTCTAAATCAAGAAAAGTATTAACAATGATCCCTTTTGATTCACCCACCCATCTTCTGACCATTTTGAGATACGGTGAATCCGCATCAAACATTTCTGGAGGGCATTGTTTAGCAGGAACAGGGTGGATATAAGTTGAGACTGGAAGTTGAAGATCTGAGTCTACATACTCAGAAAGATCGCAGTTTTCATCTACAAGGCTCAGGAGATGGTACCTGAGGCCAATTATAGCAGCACCAGAAGCGTAAAACACATAAGTTGGTAACTCAAATTCATTAGCTACATCAATCATGGCTGCACAGAAGGTGTCTACGATGAACCCTGTGACCTTAGATGAACCAGAGGACTCCTTCTTCAGTTGGGCAACAAAGTTTCTAACTTGTGGCTTTTGGCTTTCCACTATTCCATAAAGTAAGGCCAAAGGATTCTGAGGCATTAAGGGATCATCTTGTGGTTGTGGATCTGAGAGTTGCACATATTCTATACCTTTGGTGGTTTCAGTAAGGAGTGACTGAATGTATGATTTGGCACTGGGATCAAAGGGCAGATTGAAAAGGAGGAATTTGATGGAAAGATGATCATCTCTTTCAATTAGCAGCTTAGCCAACTCAACAATTGACACTAGATGGCCTGTTACAGGAAAAGGGATGATAACCAATTCTGCTTTCATCTTTAGGAAATTTCCAAATATCTGTCTTGATAAGATGCCTCAAAGTTGGAACCTCAAAAATATTGATATTTATCATGCCGAGGTAACTGGATTGATTTCTTGCAGACTGTAATTTAGAGTATAATATCGAGGAGAAGTGGAAGTGAGGTCATGGCTTTGCTGTAAGCCTTTTAAAGTAGGTGCTGAAGATCACATTATTAAAGGGCAAAGTCAAAAAGGTAATGCTGAATGATCCATTCATATTTCTTCTTGTACATCATTGTTTTTCCAGAAAACTCTGCCAACAGGTAATGCTCAAAAACTTTGAAATTTGAGAATTTCCGGTTCCAGGTTAATGCAAACAAATATGCTTGGCATAAATTTATGCTAATTGTCATAGGGTAAATCACTGGTAAACTTGCATGACTTGACTTGCGCGTCAACTTCAGGAATTAGGTACCAAGTCAATCCCTGGTCTCATATAAAGTAAGGTATACCCTTTTCACAACCAAAAAAAAAAAGTATGGTAAACCAATTAAACAGTGGAAGCTAGCTTTTATGACCAGTTGAAGATGGTGGAACACTCCGTCAACCTACATCACTCTTCCATGGATGAATGCAGGAAAACAACGATATGATCTTGACATGTTTTGAAAATACATATTGTATTACGATAAACTTATTTAAGAGTGAAAATAATAACCGTGTAATTAAGTAGTACTCCCTCCGTCCCATAATTATTGTCCACTTTCGGAAAAAAAATTATCCCAAAATTATTGTCCAATTTGACTTTTTATGGACTAAAGTACGCATTTGTCCTTTAATCTATTTACTGTAAAGTGTAAATCTATCCACGCACAACATGCACAACACACACAATAAAAGAGAACACAATGCAAAAGTAGCGAAATCAAGCTCATATTCCCACGGCTCAAAGCGAGAGAGGATGAGGTAACCGGGTGATTGTCAGAAACGAATATGGGGAAGAAATCTTTCTTGAGCGATTAAATTGGTGTAATGGATTTATTTCTGATCTCGACGGACCCTATCTCTTGCAGATCCCGACGGTGAGTCTCCGGCACGGACTCGGATCGAGTAGCGAGGGTCTTCACCAGACCCCCGAAGCTCCATCCACCAACACACGTAGCAGAACAAGGAATAGAACCACCATCACGACTGTGTCTGTTTGGAAACAGATTATGTCTTACCCCCTTCTCGGATTTCTCTCAGCCTACCAATTTTTCATCATAATTATTTTTTTTTCTCTATTCTTTGGCTGATGATGACTGTGTCAAATCAGTGCCACTGATTTTGGCATAATTTTTTGGATTCACCTCTGGGAGAATTGACAAGCATATCTTTCGTGAATCTTGGACTTCTTATTCAAGTGTTTGGCCCAGTCCCCTGGAGAATTTAGATCGTACACCTTTTTCCAATTTGCAAGAAGTGCCCGATGGGCAATATGTTTTTCATCGGAAATCTCGCCGGAGTTGTTCTCATCATCGGTTTCCTCAACTGTCTCGTCCGTAAAATCTTAGACAGAAGAATTATGTTCGGAAACATCAGCTTAGAGTGGGAAGATTTGAAATTCGTCATTTGAAAAATTGATTCACTGTTTGATAGTGAAGAATGAATTCTTGAGCTTTGGTTGAATATTTGGATTGGGTTGATTTTTGCATTTTTGTCGGTGTTAGTTTAGAAAACGAGTAACCGATTAAACAATTACATGGACAGGGGTATATCTGGAAGTTTAAGTCAAAATATAGTTTAAGTTTGACCAAAAATAAATTCTTCTATCTTGTTTAAACTGGACAATAATTATGAGACGGAGGGAGTATATAACAAAAAAAAAAAGAACTAATTTATCCTTCCTTTTTTGCACTCTAAATTTTCTATTACACACTGCACACATCCTAATAACTGATAAAATAACATGTGTAAGGACTCTCGTAATGATTTCGGGTGAATTCCCTATTACGATTAGTTTGTATCAATGGTCGGCAATTAAACCCATTACTAAACATTTACAAATCCATTCTTAAATATATGCTATTTGTCGATAACATAGTTATAATATATGAAACGAGGGAAAGGGTAAATACCAAGTTAGATACACAGAAAGAGGCGCTAGAATATATAAATTTTACTATAAGTAGAGCTAAAACTGAATATATGGAATATCATTTTAGTAATCGTAAGAGTAATAAAATGGTAAAGGTTAAAATTAGTGAGCATGAAATGAACATATTTAAAAATTTTAAACTCCTAGGATTTATCGTAGAAGAAAATGGAAGTATTGGGAGAGACGCAACACATAAAATTCAAACAATTAAAATTAGTACACATTCCAATACTCAATTTAGACTTTTTTTTTTTGAGATATTTCTTCTGTACCAAAGGTAGTCAAAATAAAATTTTGAGAATTTATATTAAATTGAGGTTTGACATTTATATTATTCTTAATACAAGTATCAAAATTTAATACGAATAATTTTTTAATAGTAGTATATAATTTTGTACCGTATTAGAGCATCTCCAACCATTCCAATATAATTTGCACCAAGTTTACTGTAAAAATAAAATATTTCAAGAATCTTTTTACACCAAAATTCTTTGTTCTTCAACCTTGATGCATCAAATGGTTTAAATATATAATGTTTTAAGTTAAATTTTATTTTCTGCTTAATTAAAATCTTCTAATTTATTGATAATTTTGTGAAATTTGTTTCTTATAATTGTTTTTTATTTGATTTTAGTAGTGTCGTTTTTTTTTCAATTTTGTTTCATATTCGATTTAAATAAAATTAAAAATTAATTTTTTAAAAATAAATTTTATATTCAATATGGGTCTTATTTTAAAGATCTCAGCAAAATATTTAATATCATATAATTTTCACAACACAATTCGTTTTACAAGTTCAATTACATAGCAAACATATATTTAGATCAAAGTAAAAAAATAGTGCACTAAAAATAGTGTAATGGACAAATTACACCAAATCTGGTGTAATATTATTCATTGTACCAAAATAGTGCAGTGATTTAGTGTCTTCGTTAGATTATAACTTTTACACTAAAACATCAAATTTAGTGTTTTGGTATCTTGGTCGGAGATGCCCTTCGTTGCCAAAGAGTTACCTAGTTCCCGTGTTTTCTAACACCTCATCCAACACCGTTGAACTCTTCACTTTTCAGCCACTCCTCTCCCGCCGATGGGGTCGCTCCTCCATTTTCCTGCCGATCAACCTTTTGCCCCCATAAATCTTGTCCATGAAAGAGGATTATGTAAGTGATTGGTTTTAGTAAGGTCAACTCTTGGTTCATTTTAGTAAGTTCTGGAAGTGGAGTGTTCTAGTGTTTCAAAAGTCATAGATTTTTTTTTTCCGAAAAAAATACAAACCAATATTTCGTAGATTGCAGCTAACCATTCAAGAAAAGACACTTACATAATACAGGATTTGTGACACAAATTATATAGATTGATCAATTAAAAGAAATGGCAAAAGCGTACCTTATCGCGAAAGTCTCCGCTCCAACCTTTGAAGCGTTGAATCACTTCAGAAATGGTCCAAAGTGCTTGATCATCATGATCTCCAGCAACGATGCAAAGCGTGTGATCATCAAGTACGAAAACATTCCTCGGTAACGGCTCTGGTGGTGAAATTAAAAGCCGGATAGGCAATTAGTAACTTCATGAAATAAACCAAGAAAAAAGACACATACACTAACATATAAATCAAAGTAAAACAAACCCACTTGGTCTGCTAGCACGTGAATGATCAACGCCTACCATAACCCCTCCTTTGAAAGTAACAGCAAAACTTGTAGTACCCTGTTTAAAAAAAAAAAAACGGATAATTAAAAATTAAGAAAAAGAAAATGATCAAGTTGATTAAGATCATCATCATCATCGTCAGGGGCAGCGAAACCTTGGAATCTTCAGGTATAGGTATAGAGCTAAATCTCCTGAACTTCATATCCAACCCCTGCGGTTTTATTAGAATAAACAAAATCAATTCCCTCAAAAAAAAAAAAAAAAAGAATGAACAAAATCAATTAAAATAAGCCCCAAAAAGGTCACCAAAAAAAATTACTCCCTCGGTCCCAAAATTATTGTTCAGTTTGGATTTTCACTTTTAGTTCTTTTTATACTAAAAATAAAAATCTAAATTGAACAATAATTTCGGGATGGCGGGAGTAAATTATTAACCCTAGTCCCCGCAATGTAAGTAACTCCTCAGCTAGAATACATGTGTAATTGAACAAAGAAAGCAAACAGAAAACAAGCTGGAGTATAAGGTGGTTTTACCTTCTCCTTCCACCGCTTCTGCTCGGCAGATGTTTCCTCTCGCCATTCTTTAGAGCCTCACAGATATTCAGCAACTATGGCTTCGGAATCGTCCTCAGGAGAATCAACCTAAACAATGCCACCACCTAACTAAATAGACTAAACCGAATGCCCAAACAAAAAAACCCAAAATCTTTTGTTTAGGTTAAAGGAAGAAGATATTCCACACAAAGTGGTTATCTTTTGTTTATAGGACCAAAACAGAGGACATTGGAAGCCAAAATCATTTGGAACTCTTACTAGACAGAGCTTCATTTGTTGCTTGGCATGTAGGAATAGATTGCAAACCAAGGATAGGCTAGCTAAAGTGATCATGCAGCCTGATACATTGTGTTAACTTTGTAGGCAGGAGGATGAGCAGATTGATCATCTTTTTTTTTGGCTGTGATTATGCTAGACAGATTGTGGATGGTACCTTTGACTGGCTGGGTTTAACTAGAAGCTGTGATCATCTGAGAAGAAGTGTTAGCAGATTGCTCAAGCAGTGGAGATATAAAGCAGTCAGACAGAGGTTATTGCATGCTTGTATTGTGTCTTGTGTCTATAACATTTGGAGATAAAGGAATGGTAGAAGAGTGGGGAAGAAGGGTAGAACAGTTCAGGAAAGAATTGCTTTGATTAAACAGGAAGTCACTTGACATATACAGTTTCATTGTAGGAAAGGTAGTGGGGATGATATACGGTTTTTGAGCTCTTTGGACATTAATGTTAATATTCAGAAGCAATGTAATAGATAGGGCATCTGTACAGTAAACAGTGAAGTGAAGTTGATGAATGAAATTTACATTTTTACCACAAAAAAAAAAAAAAAAACCTAAAAATTAACGTCGCAAACCTCATGGTCTTCATCGAGCCGTTACACAGGATTCCTCCTGTGTTACTCATGTAATGATTATTTGCAGGGTATTGAAAACGAATTAACTGAGCGGCTCAAGCGTGGAGTCTATGATCCTGCGGAACAATGTTCATTTCAAAGTACGTATTCGATAAAGTTCTGCAAGGTATTGAAGAATGAAGAAGAAGAAGAGGTCTAAAATTGCAAGGGCTCATAGTGTTTCCTTGAATGGCTTTTTTCATTTTCCATAGGGGTTTTCGGTTTTTTTTTTTATTTTTTTTATTTTTGTCCAAACTAACTTCATTCGGTTAATGTCGCTAGGAGGAAGCTGAGATAGAGTATGTCGTTGTAAGGCCATGATTTACCCGAAGAGGAGGATTATGATATAGAAGACGTCGGCGACTTTCGATTTACCCGAAGAAGAGGATTATGAGATAGAGTATGTTGTTGTAAGGCCAAGATTCGGTTATGTTGTTGTAAGCCCTAATTCTTCCGCTAAACTCAACTCACACCGTCACATGCATTTCCAGAGGACATTGGCTCTATATTTAACCCCGTCAAAGAGGTAAAATGTAGTATGGCCAAAACTTAGGGGA